AAGAAAAAACAGATTTCCACACAGACTGCTGGCTATGTATGTGCTTCTTTCATAAATTCCTTGAATAATTTTTTTCCTTCTTTCACTCCAGCATTATCAGTACAGACAAAAAAAAAATGTTTATTACTCCTTTTCTGATGGATTTTTGTTAACCAATAATGGGCATTACATGATTATTACAAGGATGTTCAAGATGGAGTTCCTTGAAATAAAGATAAATAGCAGCTATTGCTGCTATTTTGCTATTTGCAAATGTTTGAGAGTTAAGCTGTGAAAAACAGTAAACTACGAAAAGGAAAAAATTATAATAAGAAAAGGCTTGTGTTAATAAAAGTTTAAATGAAAAATAAGGAAATCTACAGCTACCTTTTCATTAAGTAAACTCTTTACATGTACTGTTTTTGCAGGGAGGGGCATGCCTAAAGAATTTCTATTTCCATTCACAAATTGGAAACAGTCTAGGGACAGATTTATGCTTTGATCTATGAAAGATCTACACATGAAAATGACCATAGAACACTCAGACCTAGACTATTAAGCTTTGATATATGACATGAATGAAATCCTTGGATCTCAAAAATGATGAATCCAGAGCGTGGACAACAATTAGGTTCTTTACTGGCCAAGCTGAGGAAAGCTTGGGATTCTGCTTGCCTAAACTCCCAGAACTTGATAGTTTGGCAGTATTACTCCTGACTTTTTAAGTAAGACATTTACACAACAGCCTCCAATCAGCCTCTATTCTCTGAGCTCTTTGTCAGCAATTTCATTTCTGCATTAACAATACTGTAACTCAACATTATTTTACTCTATCTGTTCATGGATACTCCCTAAAACTCCATTAATTATTGTTCCATGACAGTTTGCTAAAACAACCCTGTTGGGGATGATCAGCAGTTACCTCTATTATCCATCAGAGCATTTGCACAGTATTTGGTGGAATAGGGCCCTTATCCCAAAACAGAAGTAGAACTAAACATCATCTCAATTTCAAGTTCATATTTAAGTATATCCATGCATCTACCTCGTCTCATTTTTTCAGTCAAAGAACCAGAATTTCTGGATCTTGTGATGAAGTTTTCTTAATCATTTCCCTGATGACAGTGCCTAATTCTGCTGGTAGCTTAGCACAACTAGTGCTATTCACTATTCATATCCCCAACATACACATTTCCTAAAAATTCATCAGGAGTTAAAGCCCACAAAAATATAGTTCTGTCCTTCACTGTATAGCAGAAACTTCATTTACTCTTACTGACTCCTTCACAGTTTCAATTAACTGCTATTCCCTCCCTTTAGCCATGATAGGCAACTGCCTTACTTGTATTCTTATCCAAAAAACCTTCTTTATTCTGCTCCCTGACACTATCCCAAGGCCTTTTGATAATTTGATGATCTCCCAATCAACAGAACTGGCAGTTTCTTGATGGCAATGTATAGTTCTGGTAATATGTGTGGAACATAAATACAGCTGGAACTGAAGTTAAGCAGTCAAAGAATCATGAAAAGCCATTAAAACCAACTCCTACAGAAGTATGAGAAAGAAGGGAAAAAAAAAAGAGAGACATTGCCTTTTACTGTCTCCAGACAGAAATGTGTCTTACTTTCAGGAGCCCTTAATTTACTGTTATGGTGCATGTGTATTTCTTTACCACACATTAATATCAAAACTGAATTAGTCCATTTTCTACTGAAGAAAATACTCTAATTTTTATACAGTACAGGAAAACTGAAGTTACAAAGTCAGTACATTTCTTTTCAACTTCCAATAATCACCTGAAACTATATTTGTGCCTAAATGATTGACGTGCATTGTTTTTCTAACAGTCCCTTTTCAGTCGAGTTCTCTCTCCAAGTTAGCACGTAAGCTCTTTTTCCTAAGACACAACAGATGGGGTCACTTCAGCCTACAGGCCAAAAGTGGTCTGGTTTATTTAGTATGACCTGCAGCTCTACCAAACCTACCTTTCATGCACTGGCACTCTACTAATGATATGTGAGCACATTCAGCTTTTCATGTATAAAATTATGGGACAAATTCAAAAGATGTTTGGAAATGCTATTCAGCCTCCAGCTATGAAAATGTTTCTCAGCCTTTCCTAAAAGAACAATTTCTAAATGAGAAGCAAAAATTCTTCTTTCTCATGAAGCACTACAGAAGTGACACTAATTGCATGTGGTTGTAGTTCAGGCCTAAACAGAAGAGTGTTTAAAGCAAAGTGACACCACAAATTAAGTTTGTATCCCCACTCCAGAAACACTGTAAAGACAGTGGTTCAGACAACAATTCATCTTCTTTTATTCTATTAAAAGCAGCAGCACCAAATTAGAGAAGAGAGGTTGGAAAAAGACAGAAGACAACATGTTGGCATTATTAGAATACTGTAGATGCTAATTCTTCTGCAACCAACAGGCTTCTGTAATTTATTTTTTTAGAGTCTCTTACACTAGATATTGTACTACTTGTACCTCTGTTAATATTTGCTAAGAAATCTTTGACTAAGCATGTGAGCTACACATTGTGTGGGTTTGCTTATCTTACTACTCAATTTTTAAGCATTCGGTATTAGCTCCAGGTTTTTTATCTAGTACCATGTGCCATGGGCACATTAAAAAGGGAAAATACTTTGCAAGAAGAACTCTCATATTTAGACCTAATATCATGTGTTAATAATATCCCACTGTTTTTTTTCCTTGTATACAGACTGTACATCCTGCCCAACAATACAGAACCCTTTGCCTAATTTTAATTAAATAATACCCTGAAAAATGGTGAAATTAACTTCACTTAGAATTCTAGCTGTCTAACAGCAGTGACTGTCATGAAAGACAGTGAAGAGATATCTTGAACCACACATCTGTAAGTGTTCTAGATCAAAGATTTTGTAATTACAAAATGGATCTAGTTCAATTCCAAACAGGAATCTTAATATTTTAAATCTAAAAAGTATTAATTTTTATTCTTTGAAAATCTTGGAACTTCCTTAAACAGATTAACATAGCCAGCCACCTTCTTCCCAAAAACAGAAGGCCACCCACTATCAACTTCAATATTATCCTGTGAAACACTGCAAAGTAACTTGATGCTCTGCTCTGACATGTCTTAGAAACAGTAAAGCTAGCATAAATGGATGATTAAAACAGGAAAGAGAAGAACAAATCATTTGACAGATGATGAGAAATTAGAGGAGTGGCCATTGAAGCTGAGGAAGTCACTTAAAATGTCAGAAAACGCGGAAAAAGACATAGGAAGCATGATGTTGAGAGACTGGTCACAAAATGCCAGTAGCAGTCAGATGAGAGGTGTTTCTGGCCCAGTATTTATTCCTACCTTACTCAATTGGTGTCATGATTCCTAAAGGAGAACTGGAGCACATTGTATCTGTATTAAAACTATGAAAACCAAATATACACTGCACAAGTCTTGTCTGGAACATTTATGCATCTAAGACCCACAGGACCATAAAGCAAACTAGCATCAGAACCTTTGAAAAGCACTGAATGTCAGCATTTCAGGTAAAGCCACACAGGCAAAGACAGACTCAAAAATCTTAACTAGCATAGCTTCATTGATTTTAGATGTAAAGGATTGCTTACTCACTGGTTTGTAATGTGCATAGAAGGAACATCACACAGTTCCCCACAGTGACTGAAACAACCTTAGAGAAGCTGGTAATTGCAGATTCCACTTTATGATCAGGAATTTTTTGATAACGTTTTTGTTGCTGTGAGGAGAGTGGAACCTACATTTGGGTCTCTGACTCTTAAAGCTGGTATCAGATGAGTCTCCTCAGACAGAAAGGGTGGGAGCAGGAAGAGCCTGTACAAATGTCTGGAAGATCTCTTCCATCTATGAGCACTTGGAGAGCTGGATCAGGCCCTGCTAGTTTTGCACCCAAAGCCACTGCTAGTGCTAGGCTCCAAGACTTTTTCCATGAAAGCTCCATAATACAAAAGATAAAATGCTCATTTAAAAACAAAAGAAAAAAAAAAAGGATAAACTACTATAACCAAACATACAAGCAAAGCCATTAATTTAAATGCTTCCACATGGAAGTATGAAGAAAAATACTTTCTTACAACTTCTAAGTGATCAGAAGTGAAATTGGAGATATTTCATGGTCTCCTAAAAATCCTAGTCTTGACAAAAGTAAAACTTGCTGTCATTTTCTAGGCAGTAAATGTTTTACTGCTGGGAAAAGATTTTGATGTTTGTAATTTCTATTGAAGAGCACTATGAAGTAGTTAAAAATATTGCCACATCTGAAAAACAGACCAACGGGAAGTATAAGACACTTGTTCATCTGTATTTCTGTGACTTTTCTCACTTGGTATTATTTGCAACCCTACTTTCATGTCTGGCAACAGTGCCAACTCTACTAAGGATCATATATTACTTTTATCATGTTGATTACATATGTTCACCAGTTTTGCTGCCTATATATGATTAGTGTGGTTTGCACATACTTAGTGACACAATCCAGAGCATGACATTTTCACAGAAAATGTGTTTACTGGGAAAGAGCTCCTTAGAAGTTTGCATTCCTTTAAGCTTTGATCTACATGACATCAAGAATCCTACAGTTTGAATATATGTTTACCATTTATATTATTAAGATCTATCTCCTTCTCACTATATGGCTACTGAACACTTTGGAAGTCACAAAAAATTTCCTTTTCTCTAAGGTGAACTTAGTAGTAGCTGAATAAAAGAAAACCTCTTAAAATGTTTGCATCTGTGAGTTTAAACTTCATAGTGATTTGACATTTAAATTCTGTTATTCATCAGCACTTCACAGCAGTACTTGATTTGTCTAAATAGGTTTGAAAGCCCACAAGTGAAGAAAATCAGAAAAACCTGGTTTTGAATATCAAAAGATTGTATGTGAAAAGTATTTTTACAGGCTGCACGTACCAGTTTTATTGATCAATTAACTTCTCCCAGAATGAATTTTTCTGAGACCATATATGAAAAGCCAAACCCCTCCCCTGACACTTACTGATAAATGTCTTTTCTGAGCACAGCTCTACTAAGAGGGTTGTCAGCCTGAGGAGCCATAGAGACAGATCCAATCTTGAGAACCAAAGTGTCTTCTTTAATTGATGGATTAGCTGTAGTTAGGAAAAGAGAAAATATGTGTTTGATTAAAAGTCAAATGCACATAGCAGGAACGCTGAAAAATTATTTCTTTAAAAATGTACATAAGAATACTGCTAAGGATTCAATTTTGCACAGGAGCAACATAAAATCAATAGTCCTGCTGTGATACATAAAGACAAAACTATTGTAATTTCATTTCCCCAGAGTTTTATCACACCACTGAATCCTGGTCTGCGACTTCTCATTCTCTCTGACACTTTTAGGGGGGGTATTTCAAAATGCCTTCAGACATTTTATGACATATTCTTTGTGATCTGTTTGTTTCTCCAATAACTATTTGCTGAAACATAAGCATGTAAACCACTCTGAATTGTGCACCCTTTTTATTATGGGCCCATATCTTTAGATGTAAAACATTACAGGATATCACAGTATAACCATCCTGGTAGCATTTGGAATCGGCTGCAACGCACATGGAAAGTTCAAACACAAGGACTGAAACAGGAGAATCTGAAATCTGACACATATACATGGAACAAGATGTAATACTGGACAGTAAATTTCACATCAATAACAGAATTATTCTGAGAAGAAAAAAGTCTCTGCTTTCCACTTATCTCCATAATTTTCAAATTTCAGCCACATGTAAAGTTTCTCAGTTTTAAAAGCAGTGGTCATATTAGACAAAACCCAAAGTTCTGCACAGAAATAAACAGCACCATATTTTTTGTAGAAAGCTAACTCTGTCAGCAGGCACAGACAAAGCACTTGAATAAGGCTGTGCTCAGAAGACTCCACATTAACTAGGAAACTCTGGAGCAGGTGTGATGCAATTTCAAAGAGTTCATCATCTGAAGGGAAATGATTCACTGCAAAACCTGTGTGAGATGCAGCAAGGATGGAATGACATCACACCTGCTCCCACACCCAAGGAAGTTCTGCAAGACTCTCATACATGAGTTTTGAAAACAAGATTGCAGTAGAAGATAGTTTAAATATTTTACTGAAGTGTGCAATGCTTGGTGTGGTAAGAACCAGGAAAATGTATAAGCTCAAAAAAATGGTTTCTTCAGACCCAGTAACGTCTTGGTGAAAAAGACACCATGCTTTGCAGCTAAATACCTATAAAGACATGTATATTTCTGAACAGATCTAAGAAATCACAGAAATTCTAATACAATATTTTCAAACTACTGCAGGGAATAGCCCAGTAAATATGTGGCAAAGTGGGAACACAAGTTCTGATACACAAGTGTATTAGCACACAAACTATCTATTTAAAAGAACCTCATGTGCTTACAAAGTAAAGATAAACCCTTTAGCCCCCCCCCCAAAGCAAAACAAAACTAATTACCAATGGTTTGGCTGCTAGAAATAAGAAACAAGAGTTAAGCTGATGAAAAACTCCCTTTTTTGACTAAATCTGAACTCATATGTTCAAAAAGTAGTAAGGCATTATACTAAGTACTAGAATACTGCCACTGTACACTTAGGTGTTGGGTGTTTGCTTTCCAATACTCACATAAGAAGTGGAGTCATGGTATTAAATATACATCTGATTATAACTGCAACTCAATTAGGTGGCAGATGCCTTATTCTTAATAAAATATATCTTAGGCTAAGAATTTTAATTTGTCTCTAACACTTAGCAAAGCAAAATAAGCAAAGGGCTACCCATAACAGTCTCTGCTGTGTGATTATTTTAAGAGGTTTTTTAAAGGCTGGGCATGGATCTTTCATGCTCAATAAATAAGCCAATTTAAAATCAGAAAGAATCACAGACATTAATACAATCAGCTGATTTCTAAAGAGTCATATGAATTCGTATCTCCATTCATTAACCCATGCTTTGCAAAATATGGGAATAATGTAATAAACAATCACAGCCATGGCAGATATTAAAAAAATTTGAGGGGAAAACCATCCATGCTACATTTAAAAAACATACTCACAATTTAAGTATGCTTACAATATAATACTATCATACATTACTTTATACTTACAATCTAAGTACAATCTAGGAAAATCTTACAGACTCAAGATATTGTTCACAATCTCATTTGGTTTTATCCACTGATCTCAGTCATTTTTTTGCAGAGCTTAATACATTATGCTATTTTAATCCTTCCTTTTAAGACTCCTTGTGTAGCACGTAACATTTTTGATACTTTTCAGCACCCTCTCTACTTTTATCAATATCCAGTTTTACAACAGAAAGCAAATTGGACGTGATATTCCAGCCTCTGCCATGTGCAGAAGTACAGCCACCTCCCTTATTTCTTTTCCCTCAGTCCAATGTGACCCACAAGCTGTTTCAGCCACTGTTTCCCAGGATAGTCTCTCCAGTCCTAGAGACCCAGCCTGTGTAAACCTTCCTTGATTTACAACTTCAGCTTTAGAAGATTTACTGTACTTTCTACAAGCAGTATGCAAGCACAGTAACCCAGATGCATGGCCTCAGGAAATGCTCTGCAACATTCGCTGATGATAGCAGCAACGGTTTTATATTTACTTTCAGACTATTAAATGCCAATTTCATTTATTATTCCCAACTGATGAGTTTTTGTGGGTTATTTTTTTTGATTCCTGGTTAGCCATTTTTAATTCATTTAACATTTCCACAGAGAGAGTATGGGGATGTATTTAAATTAAATACCATGAGAAAAAATGTCAAACTCCCTAGAAAAGTCTAAGCATATCAAATCTTTGCAAACGTTTTATCAACTAAGAATTGAAACCACAATGAAGAATGGAAATCAGATGTTTTTTGAACATCTAATTTCCCATAAAACCATATTTATTATCATGTAAAAATATGTAATTCTTTATTAACTGAATCATGTAATATTTTTCCTTTATGTTCTCCAAGAGAGAACAATAAAATTACCTGTCTTAATTTTATTTGAACATTACACTTTCCATTTTACTAGATAAACCTCCAGCTGTCTAAAACCTGTTTTTCCAAGGTGTGTTAAAAATTAGCCTCAGAAGACCAAGATCCCTGAACACAACTTACTCAGCCTGACCGATTTGAAACTTTAATAGTAAGTGAGGAGGATGTTACAGACCATATGTTATGACAGACTTCAAAGCAGAGTCATGCTCATGTGACAAGAATATATCACTTCTACAAATGCAGGACATACATTTATTCAGTGTGCTGCCTTTTCTTTTTCACTATCAACAAATTCATCATGTCCTTTGTAGTGATTCCTGATATTCTGCTCCTAGTATGTACAAGAAAGAGTTGCTATTGTCCTCAAACCAGCCAGATGTGGATTTTTTTCTGTCTTTAAAACTTCTTATCAGTGTTTTGCAATTTACAATTTTTACTTCTAGTCTTCTGCTATGCAGTAATTATTGTTCCTACTTGTTATATATTGCTTTCATATATTTAGTTACCTTTACTTCATGGCTGAGTAAGTGTGGGCTGTTGGGCAGAGCTTGAAACACCACCTGATGTGATAACAAATCAAACTCAGAGAAAGCAGCATCGCTTATTGCCAAGGATAGAATGCTGTCCTCAAATCTACCACAAAAAAAATCTTAATTGGTGCTGCTGCAAAAACACCTGATGTGATAACAAATCAAACTCAGAGAAAGCAGCATTGCTTATTGCCAAGGACAGAATACTGTCCTCAAATCTACCACAAAAAGCAATGTTAATTGGTACTGCTGCAAAACCCGTGAAACTAAAATACTGTAAAATTGTGTGGGTGTAGTCATGCATGCATGTATGCAAATTCTTCAGAAGAAGAAACATGATTTTGATTATTTCAGTGTTTGTCTACCGCAGTTCATTGTGGAAGTTACGAGTAAACAACAGATTTGCTTTTTTTTAACTATACATGTAGAGCCACAATTACTTGTGGTGTTTGGGAGAAGGATAGTTTTTGTAGCTACCAGTATGCACAGGGTATGAACAGCAGACAACTGACTAGAAGAGAAACTGAAATAATTTTTTTGCTTTTACAGCAGTGATGACAAATTGAAACACACAAGTCTTATTGGACTGAAAATCTCTCATAGTCAATAAACGATGAATGAGGATCTTATGGAGGTGTATCTCCAGAAGATATAACACTCTTCTGACCTGACATAACAGATATGTGGGCCTTATTCAACTCTTGCTCCTTACTGTTTCTAATTGATATTGTTCTTGAAGACAATAAGCAGCAGAAGAGAGAAGCAATTTATTTCATGTTTACAAACCAATGAGACTTGGGAAAATCTGGGGTGAAATAAGAAATGAAAGAATAGCACCAATTTTCATAGTGATGCTATTTCAGAGTTTTCCAGTGGAACAGTGTAGCTGGCTGTCTTATTAATTAGGATAATCTTTAGCATTTTGCTTTAAAAGCATACAGTTTTTCTTCCTTCATTGACTGCTTAACCATGGCAATTCTGTTCCTTGCAGGCATTCTTAAGCAAGAAACAGCAAAAAGACAAAGTTTTTTTTTTTATAATTTCTTTTTAATGAAGTATACAGTCACAGAGCTACAAAAACATACTTTTACAAAAGATTTCCTTGACAGCGTGCCCTAGAACTCCCTTCCAACTAGAATCATAATTCTTTCTTGCCAAGACAGCCAGTCTAATTTTATCTTCCTGTGTTTTCAGCAATCCCAGTTGGAAAATTGTAGAGGATGCTGGCAAAAAAATGATCTATGTAAATTCTTACTGCGTGCACTTCTTGCAATTAGGTTATGAGAAAAATCGAAAGATTATACTCTTAGGATTATATTGTGTGTTGTACATAATGGTAAAAAAATGCTCCATACCTACTGAACTTATGTAAATAAATAATTATATTAGTAAAACACTACCTTTTTTTTAATCTCTAGAACTGTGAGAAGTGAATGTACTCCATTAGCTATTACATGGTCTAATTTTAACATTAGCATCTCTATTTATATAAAAAGACTGTAATAGGGATGGAAACATATTCTTACATACAAAGGGAAAACAATATCTTACAGAATAAGTATTATCCATCAATCACATAACTATTTCTGAACATCTTACACTACCCAAACTCTGTAAATACCTGTAAGCCTCTTGCACAAGAGAGCTGGAACAGCTTCAATTAAAATGCTAAACTGCATCATCGGTTGGGCACCATCCATAAGGCACATTTTAATAATATTTTCCAAACTAAACTATCTACTTGCTTTACTATCACATGGTTTTCCAGGTGTCAATGTCCACAAGGGCTAAGGCCCCCTGCTCACACTCCCTGCTGGGACAGGTGTCTATGGAACACTGCACTGATACCAGTGTTACTATCACATGGTTTTCCAGGTGTCAATGTCCACAAGGGCTAAGGCCCCCTGCTCACACTCCCTGCTGGAACACTGCACTGATACCAGTGACATGTAAGCTGACACAGAATCACCACTGCAGAACCGGGTTAAGCTCTCTTCCCAGAATTTTTGACCATTCTTTATAACCACATTTTAAAAGCAAACTATAGGTACCATAGTAAGGATCAAATAAATAGCTAAAAAGAAATTTTGAGCAGATGTGCAGAGAAGTAGCATGAATGTTAGATGTTTCCTAACTCTAACCTTGGAAACTGAAGCAATCGTCACTGATTTAACTACAAGTATTCGATCTACAATACTGAACAGTAAAAAATCTCTAACATAAAACACTGTACCTTCTGCAATATGATGATCTTCCTCATTTTTGGGGAAGAAGACTCTTATCACGCCCGTGTTGATGTAAATCAGAGGCAGGTTGCGGGAAGTCAGAGCATGTGTCCTCATTGGTTGACCTGGTGACTTCCTTTTCTCCTTCTGACTCCTTGGCAACCTGGCTTGAAAAATGCTTGCAATTGCATTTAGCAAAGGGAAACAGAGGACCACATCAAAGGCCTGAGCAGAGAGAAGGATCTCATGGAGAAAATGAGGAGAACCATCAGTGTGACCTTCTGACACCTTATGGAATGTTCTTCGTTCATTTCTTGATATCAGTTTGTGCCGGACATTTTTTGTCACAGCTTTGGTATAAGTGAGAGAAAGAAATCCATGTTGCTGGTGTGAACCATCTAAAAGTTTTGCAGTTGTCTGTTTCAAGGATAAATAAATAAATAAATAAATAAATTTCTGGTTATTTAGGATTCCATATTTTTTAGTAGCTTTCTACAGTCATTTAACAGTAAAAAAAAAAAAAAAGAAACCAACAAAACACCCTTCATTTTTTTGAATGTACAGTTTGTCCACACTTTGCATCGGGTCATCCAAGCTCACATATTTCTGAACATACTGTTCTTTTCTAATTACTTAGGTTTCATGAAACTCATATCTAATGAGCCAAAAACATCTCATTTATTAAAAAACCTAAATTTACCAACTCTTTCTAATATTTTTAACACAGTTACATATTTTGATTCCTCCTTCATTTGAAACATTTGCAGATCTCACTCCCTCTACATTGTTCACCCCATCTCAATATGGGTGCATAAACCACCCAGAGTCACCTACACAAGTACTGAACTGGTTTTGCCTCATCACCTCAGAGTATTTAATGCAAATAGCTGTGCCACACAATTTCATTCTATCTCACTCCCTTTACATTGTTCACCCCATCTCAATATGGGTGCATAAACCACCCAGAGTCACCTACACAAGTACTGAACTGGTTTTGCCTCATCACCTCAGAGTATTTAATCGTGCCACACAATTTCATTCCACATTGCATTGTACTTTAAAAATAGATTCCTTTACTTAAGACAGATTTGTCTTGCTAAAGATGACAATTAAATCCTTAGGTCCCACAAGATGGATAGGAAAGTTTCCATATTACCTTTGAAAGTTTTTTAAGTCATTGTTATAAATGGAAAAGTGTAAAAACCATTATTTTAACAATGCAATAAACATGTTGACAGAATTTTAATATTATTTAAATATCAGCTTTAATCATGTAAGCACAAATGAAAGCAACTATATTTTGCAAGTAGCTGCTTCTTTCATCATGTTACATTTGACAGTAATCAATTAAAAAAATTTAAAGATTGTTAGCAGAAGAACAACTTCTCTTTCTTAAATACATAGGATACATAGTTTAAATGGTGGAAAACTGGAAGCTTTTAAAAGTAAATGAATTAAAACAAACTTGTAAATTTATTTACTCTAAGAATTTAAACAGAATAAGAGAAAAGATTCCCAGTCGATTTTCATGATGAAAATAAATCAGACCATCCAGAACTTTCACTAACATAAAATAATTCCATAGACCTACAGATAAAGAGGCCAATGTCATAACACATGAAATTCATCAAGGATAAAGAGGCAAGAGGAAAATTACTTAAATATCTCACAATGAGATATTCTGAACCAGCTAGTAATCTTCCAAGCATTTAAAAGGAAGACTCAAATATGGAATTTTTAATTGTTGCATTCTCATAATTAGACAGGCAATTTTATAAGGCTGCATAAAGGTATAGTGCAGTAATACCAAGTACTTAAATCCCTAAGTAGATATCAGAATTACACTAAAAAATGCAGCATTTAGTACTGGCTTTTACATATTTGGCCTTCAAACATACTGTGTGTGCTCACTTCTAATTTAAATGAATCTCACTGACTTCAGTGGTCTGTTGTTATGTACAAGGTTGTGAACCATCAACCCTCATTCCCTTATCTACTAAAAAATGACAACTATTACTCAAGGATGAGGTGGAAATAACACGTTACATAATCAATATCACCAAGAAATACACTCAGTAAAAAAAATTAAAAGTTGTAAGATTACAAGAAATCAAGAGGTTTTCTCGTAACACGTTACATAATCAATATCACCAAGAAATACACTCAGTAAAAAAAATTAAAAGTTAGATTACAAGAAATCAAGAGGTTTTCTCTTTTTTCTGGAATTTATTAGTGAAAGTTCTGTATTCAAAAAATTTAAAAATATTCTTACAGAAGGAAAGAAGCCAGAGAAGTTACTGAAAGGATCCTGCTTGCTGATAGGTCGAACCAACAAGGTACGTCTGTTCAGCTTGTCAGTGCAGGAAAGGAACACACCTCCATATTGCCCCAGAGACCAAGAATCTTCCCCAAGGCTTGAGGTAATGAACGAGGCATGGAAGATAGGAAGAAAAAAAAAAGTTGCTGTAAGCAAAAATAATTGTTTACATTTAGCTTGTGTGTTTCAATGTAATTGCAAGATGAGCTATGCCATATCTTTTCCTAAAAAGCTGAAATTCAATCAGGTCAAACAAAAAAAAGAGATCAAAAAAGGTAACTGTAAAATTTTATGTGAAAGGACAACCTAAAGCAAGAGGTCAAAACATGTGAGAATAGAAGTATAGTAAAATCTTGTGTGTAGAAGAGACTTACCCTGGATTTTCAGCAGCTTTAACAGAACAAGGAGGAGAAAGATTACAAGAACAAAGACACCGTGAATGCAAATCTGTATTCATGTGTTACAAAATCAGTATTATTCAGAAAAAGTTAGCTTTTAAGTGTTAAAATGTGCCTTGTACAGTTCTTGTAACCATTCTTTTTAACATATAGGAGAATAAAGTGAAGTAATTTGCTTAAGAAGAGTTATTCAGGTAAGCACCTTAGTTTACTACAGAAATCTCACCAAGAGTTTCTCTCTGCATTGTAGAAAAATTGCTTCAAAATGTCCTGACTGCCAATCTCCCCCTGGCCTGGAAGACAGAAAGTTCACCTTATCTATTCTCTGCTTTTGCTTTTAGTCCACAGGGATTTGCACACAGGAAAGGTACTCCAAATAGATTAGAAAATATAAATGAGAACATTGACAATTTTGTCAAGTGGAGTAAGTTTTGAGTTTTTTGTGGCTTTTTAGGTTTTTTTGTTTGTTTGTTTCCTCCAAAAGTTTGTTAAGTGGTGCTGGCTACTGGGATTTCACAGAGTCATAGAATACCTTGGAACATTCTGATATTGAACATTCTGAATACCTTGGAACCTTTTTCTGATATCCAACCTAAACCTTCCCTGATACAGCTTTATTTTGTTCCTTCTGGTCCTGTCACTGGTCACCACAAAGAAGAGATCAGAGTCTGCCTCTCCTCCTTCCCTCACGAGGAAGCTGTAGACAGCAATGAGGTCTCCCCTCAGTGTCCAGGCTGAACAGACCAATTAACCTCAGATGCTGCTCACATGGCTTCCCTTCAATGCCCTTCACCCTCTTTGTTGCCCTCCTTTGGATGCCCTCCAGTAGTTTAATAACTTTCTTGTATTGTGGTGCCCAAAACTTCCACAATATTCAAGGTGAGGCTGCCCCAGTGCAGAGCAGAGCAGGACCATCCCCTCCCTTGCCCGGCTGGTGATGCTGTGCCTGACATCGTCCAGGACATGCTCAGGACTCCTGCATGGTGACATGATTTTAAAAGACTTAAAAAAAATACCCAACAAAATTTAATTAGCAAATATGATATTATATACAAACAATAACTCATTTGTAACATAGGCAAAGAGAAGGGAATCTAAATAATTTTTAAGATAGCTTATCAGGAATAAAATCATAAAGAAACAAGGGTAATGTTGCTAAATTAATACTAAATCTCCTTGCTATTGTACATAGAGAACAATAAGCATTCAGTAAGACCTTACAGACATTGGTTCCCAAGCCAAAACAATTTATGTTTCTAAATATTTTAGTTATTTTCAATGCCAACAGCCGTGCTGAAGCTTTTAACTACGTTTTTCTACTCAAAGAGTAACATAACTATCCTATGTTAATCTCTTAATTCCCAATGGAATTTGTTGATCTCTAATGGCAACTACTACCCTAGCTGATCAAAGCCTACACAGGCTCTCTCTCTGTCAAGACTGGTGTGTTCATGGCCAACACAAACTAGAAGATGGCACATGGCATTCTACAGAGCCGTGTGTCTGGGTGTCAAGTGACACAGTCACACTAGTGCAGCAAATCATCCAGACACCAGGACTTGCAGAGTGGGAAGGCAGACTGGGAATGCACACAGTATTGATGATGCACTGCTTGAGATTAATTCCTGAAGTTTTACTCAGGTGTCTGCACAACACTGTGCCATGTGACACAGCAGAGACCATCAGCTCAGCTCTCCTCATCACAGTAACTGCTGCTTTGCCACAGCAACAGATGTTTCTAAAAACTGAGTTGTTTCTCTTCAGCATGCAAGAGTAGCAGAGCATAAAGCATTAAATAATGGCACTTGCTAATACATCATGAACCAATATTTCAAGAATTTCCCATTCTATAGTTAAGCTAAAATTAATTATTTTTGTTTAATGGATCAAGAGAGCAGCAAGTGAGGAAAAAACACTCCTAAATTTGCAATGATTTCTATGTATTTCTTTGGAATTAGATGTAATTCTGAGGAAACACAATTGTGATTTTTATTACTTGAAAGGTTAAAATAATTTAACTGAAATTGAATATCTACCTTAAATTAAGTTAAGAAAAAAACCAAAACACCACCTGCCTTTATCTTTCAGACTGAAATGAAAGCATCAGAACTCACAGGAATTACCTGTTTCTGTAATGGTCAATATTGAAGCTTTCTATTTTACATTTGATTTTGGTATAGACATCCTGCATATCCACTGAGGCACTGAGATCCTCTAATTCACTGACAATACAGACTTCTGCAATAGTCAAAGAAAATAAAAATCATTAGTTATTAATCTGAAAATGGAAGGATTTTAAACAAGAAATATATCTGAGACACTACATTTTGTAAATAGGATGCTGCTATTTCTACTCAGAGTTTTCCCTTTTGATTGAAGCACTTTTTGATTCAAGTGTCACACTAGAATCCAAACCTTTTTATACAAATATATTGAGAAACATATATATGGGGTTTCTAGTTTAGGTATTTATAGCATCATTTCTAGGGGAAGCAAAAAGAAAAAAATATTTGCCAATATATTTACCCTAATTATTCTAGATTTTTCTTTCTTTTGTGCAATTATTTTTAAAAAATCAAAGTTCAAGTACATTTCTTGTAAACTAGCCTTAAAAAATAGGCACTTTATTTTTCCACATTTCTATGGGCAATAATGTAATAGCTAATCAGCAGTATTGCCTAGAAAAAAAATTTGAAGTCCTGCAGTTTGTGGAATCTGAGTTTCTTTCAAATAATTACTGTTGAATGACAATTCAACTGTATCTCAAAGAGAAAAAAAAGATAAGCTGTGCACAACACACATTTTACTTTTCAACACAGAAGTTGAAACTTCTCTTCTGAACCCTGTATTAAACTTCCTTTGACTTTAATGATTATATTATGGTGATTATATTAAATTGAAATTTGAAATTACCAGTATTAAACTAGAATGGACTATATATGGAGATACGCAAAATATATGACTAAATAATATCAAAATGAAGCATGATTGGTTCTAAGGAAATAAATGCAGCACTCTTTGGAAATTAACTAACTTATTTCCAATTTAACTTAATCATCTGACACATGGGAGGGAAGTTTATGTCAAAGAACAACACTGAATTCTAATTTGCATGCAGTAACCCAATGACATTTTGTTGCTGTTATTTAAAATACAGCTCCAACCCATTATTTCTGTGTTATAGTGTTCAGTAATGTTGATACAAGCACTGACTATATAATCGTGTGCTGTAAAATAGGCTGCACTATTTAAAACAGTACATTAGGAATTCCAAATGGAATTAAAAATAGTACATTAGGCAGAAAAATGCAGAATACCTGTGCCATTATTTCTAGGATCAGGAGCAAACAATTTTACAGTAATTTTTGGCAGCATCCACTGCATCCATAGGCTGACACGTCCACTTGAAACTCCAATATTACTTGTTGTTTGTTCCAGTGTAATGGAGTCTGAGAATGGAGAATCATCACCACCCTGAAGAGAATCACCCTACAAAACAAAAAGTATTGCTTTTCACCACTTCTGGGGTTTTTTCCTAACTCAACTGATATGGATGATACAGATTCCCAAACAGTATATTTGAATTAAGCCATTTGTAACACCAGAAAAGATAAAATATTTTTCTCTTTTCTTTGGTACAGATAACAGACTATGGCAAAGACTGAATGGTAAAACTGTAAGGTTTTGTAACACGTCCCCTTGGCATAGCACACTTGCCTTATTAACTCTACACTATGGAAACACTAGCATTAACTTAAAACAAAGGCTAATAGGAATATTTGGAGATGCAGTAGGAAAAGGGCTATGGAGGCTTGCACATATCTGAAAGGCAAAGGAAGGAAGAGTCACTGGAAGTACCAAATGAAGAGCCACCCAGCAAGGCCATAACACCTACACTATGCATACACTGCATTTGAGTCATTTTTTCCCCCTTGTATGTGCTTCCCTGTAATTTCTTGGGAAAATATTTCAGAAAATAATAGCTTTCTGTAAGACTTAGAAATATTTTATTTGTCACTTTCTAAATACTTCTGTTTAAAAATTATTGTCACTTGTAATATTCTTAAATGTAAGAAATGTTGACAAATGAGCTTGTAGAAGCTTCTGTGCCATCAATTATCTCTGTTCCTTCCCTAAAATTTTAAGGGATCAATAAAGAAGACACAAATATTAATATTATTATTAATATGTTTTTAGGACGAGACGACGACAGTTGAAAGCTACACTGAAAATTCTGTTATGTGGGCTTATTAGAGCAATGCAGGCATGTTCTGATAGTATTTACCAGCCAAAGGACCTCGACCTGCTCTTTTGTTGGATCTTCCAGATAGGGAAAACATATAACTGCTCATCAGCCCTCAGTGTTTACACCCTATTAAACTGAATGCAGGAGACACATAAGTCACTAATGTCATCCAGAAGCTACTGAATATCCAGGAGCATCGCCACTTGCAACTCCACCATGTGTTGTAAATTTTCTTCATTCAAGCACAAAGGAAGGAAAAAGGTTTAGTAACTTTGATCCACTAAGACCAAGCTGTTTCTGAGATTAACAGACCAATAAACACCCCAAGTCTTATCTTTCATTGAAGGTTTGTGGGATTAGGCATTGTAAAATATGATGAACAACATGTTTGAGATTTGTCTAATTAAAAGCCAAGATTATTTCTATGGAAGACAACCCCGAAGGCAGATCTACACAGTAAGCACTACAATTGGACTGAAACCATTTTAACCTGTCAGGCAAGATTCAGAATGCACTCCTTTCAACTTCAGATGCCCAGGAATGCTTGCTTTCAGTAGCAAAATTAAAATCTGACTTGCCTCATTCTGCAGTCCAAGGCTGTAAATGCAAGTATGGAAGTTCTGTTAGCAATCTATTTTCTGGATGGGTAGGACCTAGCCCAAACCTAATGACATAGCTCATATGGAAGCATTTATGTTGACAAATCACATTTTCATTCAACTCAGGCCTACAACTTAATTATAGGTTTTCTAAACTATAAGAGGACACAAGGAGAAACAGCAAAGGTACTTTATCTGCATGAAGTAACCTTTACCTTCGAAAAGCTCAGTGATACCACAATTGGGAAGAAACTATCTATGTTGTCAACAGCTGACCCAAAGAAATTAGTATTCCAGATCTTCATTTGTATGAGGAAGAGAAAGCTTGTCCAACTAATCAGTGTATGTTTCAAGAAAATAACACCTGAACATGAGACTATAGTACCTGGACCAGCTTAACAGACGTAATATGACGTAATGCAATGGAAATTAAGATTCAGTTCACCTTCATTCATTTATAGTAACAGGGGCTTTGTGTTAATCAAAATGCATGAAAGAAAACAAGTATATTTCTATTTAGTTTTGCTTATCTAAGGCATTATTGCTTACAGTTCTCAGATTACCTGAAGAGCCATAGGTGATTATCTTTTGAAAAACTCCCGAGATCCAAAAAGCATTTGCTCTCTATCACTTTCTAAGTCAACTAACTTCCTTATACAATGCCACCTGAAATCTCTCTCCAAGTCATGGACTTAGCATCACCCCCTTGCTTTTAGGGTTTGTTTGCTCTTCTTCTTGTGTTTTACTCTTACACTGCCTGCAGATTTAATTATCAAATATAGCAGGACCTGTCTCCTGCTGTGTATCTAGTAATATTTAATCCTGCCACAGCAGGACATCTCAATGGAGAAACCTCTTATAGCTCATTTCACTAGGATGCATCTAGCTCCCAGATTGGAGTGGCACATTGAACATATGGCACCCAACAAAATAAGGCAAAAAACCCCCAGTGTGGTAGAACCTGCTAAATAACACATTCAGGACAGAGGTTAACTTCTTTCTCACAAGCTGTGACTTGCATTTCCTATTTCCTTCTCCAGCAAAATCCTTCCGGCCTCTTTTGTCCAGATTTCCATCTCTTAATACTATTTGGTAACGGTGGCCTTGCAAGACATTTCCTATTATGTCCACAAAGTGATCTACTCTCTCCAGTGCCACTTAATTATCCTACAAGGCAGCCCTAACTGGCAGTGACATGAGAGTAAATTTCTTTTCAACACTGTAAACTGTAAAATTCAGTTTTCTTCATGGATGCCAGCACCTGTCTTTGGAATGAAAAAGTATGGGGAAAGCAGCCTTGGAGAGTGTCAGCCCTGCAAGCTCCCCAGCATCCAAAAGGATGTAGGCAGAGCAATCACTTGGCCAGTGCTAACCAGTGTTAGTTCCTGAAATGGCAGGCACCAGCAATGAGACAGTGACATAACCCAGCCATTTTGCTGTCCTCAGATATCCCTGTCAACCCTCTGCAAACATTGGCCTGCCTCCCTTCAACTACTCTGCTCACTTGTAAAGCAATGAAAGGAGTGAAAATGTATCCTTCCAAAACCACAATTCTTTGACAATCCTATCTCCCGCTTTAATGAGTCTTTATTTGTGAAGTCCTCATTCTTAGAGGACATCAGAGATGCCTCAACTTATCTCATGACTTAAGATTTCATGCCATGAGAATGACATTAGTTCTGACCATTTCAATTTCTGACAATCAATTCCTCTCTGTTTCTTTTGTATAACATCCACACAGCTTCTTTGACACTCTGCCTTTCGATAACTTCCCACACCTCTGTAATCTGCCTTTGAATGATTGCCCTAAAAGATGATGATTCAGCGTTGGACTTTCACTGTGTCTGAGATGACCTTTCTCATCAAAACCCACATGCTCTGAAAAGATGGTGGAGTCAACAGGACTTTGGGCAGATGCCTTCAGCAGGGCAGATCTGAAGGAAGGAGCCAGCCAAAGAGAATTTCCCTGTGCTGAGACCTTCAGATGGATTTCACAAAGTATCCAGATATAAAAGCCAAATAAGGTAAGTAAAGGGAAAAACAATACTTTTATATTTATTTACAGTTCAAGCCAATGCTCTTGTCAATGCTGAAGTTCTGTGGACCGATTTGTGGCTCTCCATTCCTTGCATTCTATAAAAGAACTTTTTTTCTTTTATTTTTAGTATTATTTTTTTAATCTAAAACTTATTTCAAGTTCTGAAAGAATATTTCAAGTTCTGAAGAGTATTTCAAGTTCTGTTTGTACCATAAACACACTTCATTTTGCCAAACCATAACTTACAAACTGTGATGGAATGGGTGGGAATGAGAGACAGTCTCTTCTCATCTTCCACACACCCCCCCACTCTCCCACTGAACATGTTCCAAAATGGATTTTGAATGAAAATCAACTTTGTTCTAAAATTTTGGCAGGTCTCTACATTTCTGATAGTTGAAAAAGAAGTAAACAATAGCTGATTAAACTTAACGGGATACACTTTAGAGTAAATACATATTGCCACCATGGTGATTTTTGAATTTTATAACTGGGTTCCTTTATTTCTGTAATTTTATGTTTTCAGCTGTTTCATGCATTTTTGTTAGGGTTTTTTTTTTCCACAGAGAGCTATTTTTATTTAGTGGTTTGAGTGCAAAGATAACTTTACTGTGAAGAAAAGTCACGTTATAATTTTCCCACACTTCTTTCCGATTTTTTTTCTGAAGATATTAAATTATGTATAATGCATCTCAGAATCAGTCAGTTGGTAATTTTGGCACAAGGTTACTTAAAAGAGTATTTGTGAGATTGCTGAAGAACTGCACTTACCCTAGAGCTACAGATACCGACTCAGATGTATCATCAGAAACTGGACCTGCCATTGCCAGGGTTTGGAATTCATTCCACCACACAGCCCGAAAATCTTAACAAGGGCCTCAAGTCCCTTGGGCTTCACCTCACCTACAATTCTGTCCTTGGCCTACTGCATTCCCACCCAGAATTGCAGGTGACTTGCCCTTACTCCCCCTTGGAGTGGCAGCAGGTCAGTGGAGCTAAATCTGGGTTGTCCAGCAGTGATCTGCTGGCAGCCAGGGCAGCTGCAGAGCTGCTCCAGGGACACCCCCGGCTGCTCAACACCTTGTCCCTGGCACAGGGACACGCTGCTGCCCCTGCCTCCTTCCACAGTTTAACTTCAACATACTACCCACATTTTTTCTGCAGTGAAAACCTGTGTAAACAGCTGAATTGACCCATTCCCTTTGTCAGTGGCAGATGCTGCTCTGAAGACAGAGAGAACATGTTGTATGACTGTCCTTTGGGAGACAAACAAATGGAAGAGACTGCAGTTCTTCTTAGCCTTTTGTTCATGGAACTGTAACCACAACCATTAGGCAGAGTCAAAAGGCCTGGAAAACTGATGGTCTGCAGTAGCTGACATATTTTTTTTATTTTTTACAAGCTCAAATTCACAGAAATTTTTTGCAGTAAAAAACTAAGAAACTGAAGTGAGATGAAAGACTCTTGTTTCTCACTGAGTTTCAATTTTAATTTTGGATTTTCAGCACCCAGCATGTTATTGTTAAATATGTTTATGCATTACTTTTCTGCTCTGTTTCCAGATCTACTGAAAAATCAAGCCAGAGTCAGAAACCCTGAACTATTTTCCCACAACTTCTCATGCCAAGTCCTAAAATATACAATTTAATTCTTTTACCAATTGTTGCAAATTGACCAATATACTGAGTTTATTTTCTTACCAGAATTTATCTTTGTTCATCAGGAAGATCCAAACATATGAGGCCTTCATCCTTGGCCTGCCTAAAGCTCAGGGATGATCACAGTTTGGCCACACTAATGCTATGCCTTATCAAAATAACTTCTGCATTCTTGCTCAATCACTGAGTTTCCCCAAGGACTAAACACTTCTACCACTGTTTGTACTTAAGTAAACAGTAACAAGTGGCCTGTTGCAGTCTGCACTACCTTACCTTTTCCAAGGCAGGGATGGTAAAAATGATTAACTGTTTCCAGCCTCCAGTATTTAAGGCTCTCACTCATGCTTCCCTGTCCTACCACCACCCAGGCTAAAAGCCAGTAAGCCTAGGTAGCTTTATCCACATCAGACCATGGTGCTCACATCAAGTTGTCAGCAAGAAAAGAATTAGGCACAGCTTAAAGTATAAATCATTCACAAATCACATAAACAAATTATACTTTTTTTTTGCTATCTGATATAAATAGTTGTGCAAGTTTGCTTTCTTCATTTATAGCAAGTCTGTTGCAGCTGAAAGAAGCTTTAAAATAATAATGTGTCTCCCACAGAGCAAAACAGAGCAACTATAAAATCTCTAAACTTAAAAAATTCCATTGCTATGGCAGCAAAGCTGTTTTGGTTTGATACATTTCAAGATTTCAAGGCTCAAAACTATAGAAATATATAAACAAAATACAGAGTCCGATAAAAAACTAACTTCTGGAGAATTTTCCCAAGTCAAACCTACAGAAATATATATTATTATTTAATTAATCTATTCTAATATTGTCCCTTGTTCACTAATTCACTAAATTTCATTTAGATAATTTAGAATTTTTAGGAGAAAAAATTTTCTAGCCAGTATATAACATTTGTTGAGAACACAAGGAAAATGAAATAAATTATGAAGAACATTTTGCAAAAGGGTAGGACATGAACACTGAACTTGGACCCATATTACTAAAATAATCTTGGTAACATATGGATTAAAACATTACTGAATAGTCTCAATTAATGCTCCAAGTAAAACATGTACAACAAATACTGCTGTCTATATAGATGATCAAAAACAAATTGTTATTTATAAAGCTGGTGGTTTCGGATTGTAATGAGAAATTAATTTAATGTGAGTAGGGGGAAAACCACTATTTATACCATGTACACATAGATATACACCAAAAACAACGCTATTCAAATAACTTACAAACATTTAGTGAAACAACTTGAGAACTGAAACTCTAACCCAAACACCTTTTAATGTCAGCTGTTTCTTCCGGGTGTGTATGATGCATATAAAAGCAGGCACTAGCAATCATCATTTAATTTTCTCCAAACCTGAGAATTAATATAAACTATACACAGGGCTAAGCCAACCCTGGCCAAATGTTGAATATGTATTGCACTCAGAAACCAAATTACTGTATATCTGCCTGTGCTCACAACTGTTCTGTGAGGTGTCTCTAAAGTTGATGGGGCTATCCTGAGACTGAAAGCCAGTCATTCAGAAAAGTCTCCCTAATTCTAATAGATTTGTGTTAAAAACAAAGCACTGAATACATGTGATACCTTACATACCTTCAATTCATCTGACACATTTTTGACTCTCTCTTGGAATACAAACAAGTAATTATTTTAACTTGTAAACCTGACAGGGGCACTAAGAAAGCCACAAATACTACGCCTGTGCAGTTGCAAAGCTTCCTGTGACCACCCATTCTACTCTGTACTAGCTACCTGGTGACTTCTGGCTAATGGTACTCGTGGGTGAAGTTTAACATGGCATTCATGCTTGATAAAAGAATTAGTCTGCTTTCCTCAGTGGGGCACAGGACTCCTCCCTCTGCCTTGAATATTTTACAGTCAGGCGAACACTGACATTCAGGTACCAGATCTCTCCAGGCATTTACACAGTGTTAAAAACTAAGGAAGCAAAAATATATAAACCTGACTTATAACCCAATCTTCTACCTGAAGATACCCAAATACCCAAATGTGACAGAGCCACAAAAGCAGTGTGAGACATGGACAGCTGGCACAGGGGAATGGACTGAGCTCCAGAAGTAGGTCATAGACAGCATAGTGTTCAACAGTGGCTGGATAGATGTGGGGTGAGCACCATGGAAGCCTTCACAGCTTCAAATTCTGTTAAAAGAATGATCCCATGCAGCATGTGAGCCCAGTACCTCTGCTGGTTGCCAATGCAATTTACACAGAGCAGCTCTCTACTGACCCAGGCATCAGAGTGACTGGCTGACTACTTGGAACAGCTCACAGGCAGCACAGGTACCACAGGTATTTTCAAAACAACACTTACTATTCCATTAATTCTAGACTTGAAAAATGGCTTATGCTTCCTGACCTGAACACACTAACCACAGTTTTCTGCTACAAGATAATACACACTCACTTCAAAGAAAGCAATATAAACAAAAAATAAATATAGCCCAATACAGCAAATATTTTTTTCCTCTCTTTTGTCCAAGCAAAATGAGTAATAAAGTATTGTTCATTAGTTTACTGGGGAAAACCACCTGGACTCCACTACTTTTTCTGATTTTTCTGATTCTTCCTTGACTGCACACCACTACATTTTGTAGGTCAGAACTCACAAAACCCATTCTTTTAAGAAATAAAAATACCTCTGTAGTGGTTCCAATGTCAGCAGATGGACTGTATGTGCTGGTATCTGGTGGAATAGTACCAATGCTACTTTTAACTGGGGAGCTAGGAGGAACAGGTCCTGTCACGGTTTCAGCATAGACAGAAGACACAGATTGATACAGAACTCCTTTCCTCTGAATTTTATTCCAAACTTTACTTGTGATCTCAGCTAGCTCATACAGAAGCTGCACCTAAAGGAAAAAATAAAACTTGGTTTTAGGATGAGGCTTTTCTTAACGAGGTGAAGGAAAAATCATCAAAGTCCTCCAGTGAGATTTAGAACATAGCAGAACTGAACTTCTCACCATTTATAATGTTCTGATAAGAAACTACACTGCAAATAAAATAATTAACATTATTACAGTATATTGACTTAGACAAAAATAATCTGTTCTTTGCGTAAACATATGGTACATGGCTCAAAAACATAAACAATAACATGGTCTTGTAAAATTTTTACTAACACAAATTTTAACAATTAAGCAAAGGTAATTTATCATATGTTGCATACGTATAGATACTGCCTCTAGGAAAATGCAAATGTAAACTTTATAAAATATTAACAATGCAAAATTAATTACTCAAATTCTATTAAAATAATGATCCCTTGCAGCATGTGAAACTGATCTGCCTTTGGAAGAATATTCACTACCAAACTCAACAGTCTCCCGGCATGTGTCATTCCGATATTTAGAAACACACTGTTTAACTTGCACATTGTTTGACTCAGTTCTAAGATATTTACATAAGTTTTTGTAAATAGGCATTAATCATGGAATTTGTATGACAACATATTGGAATATACTGTATAAAAAAAGGTCAGTGAAAACTGAAAATAATATATAAGCAGATTCACAGCTGGATACCATACCCAAGTTGCCATTATAAAAAATTTAAATTCTCATATTTATAAAAACTTTAAGCCTCAGGACACTTTTGCTCCATGAAGCTGGCTTCTTATGTGGGCAGAACAGATGCAGAAAAACACTGCTGTCAATCTATATTTGATAGAAAACAGTACTTGATTTTGTGCGTGAGAATGTGTGATGAAGTCTCAAAATACATGGTGCAGTCCTTTCTTAAGAGGTGAAATGCTGGAATTTTATAAAAACCTTCTTAATTCATCTTGGATTTTCTTTTGAAGTTTCAAGGTTTACACAGAGCAGGTCACATAATCTTTTGACAGAATTTTCCTTAGAGGAAATAAACTTCACAGTACATTTTTTTTTCTCCTTCATATACAGAGCAATCTACAGCCAAACAACTCTGGCTCTGGTGAAGAACTCCTTCAGTTATGCTCTAAAGTATTTTGTGTCTGTAGCACTCTGATAGGCACTGGTAACCTTTAAATTACCAAATTCATAATTCTAAGTTTTCCTGAATCTTTTCCATGTAATGCAGGAAGCTCAACTAATGTCCTAATGCAACTAACTAACGTAACGTCCACCCAACTGATTGACTAATATAACATTAACTGGTGTTGACACTTTGCTGGCAAAAGTATCTCTAGAAATTTAATAGGATACAGGCAGATATCCAAATCATACATGCTTGCAATTTCCCCATGTCCCACTTTTTTTCCAAGAAACCAAAAGACAACTTAAGCTATATTTTTATGTTTTAATGAAGCATGGCTTTCAGAAAATTATTTATGCTATTGTTCCTAAAACCACAAAGTAACACAAAAGAAGGAATTTGTGTTTATATATATGCTCACATACAAGGTGAAGAGGTTTGTCATCAGTAAATGCAACACTGAAAGGTTCACATCATACTGGGGTTGCAGCAGTCATAATCATTACAGCTAATAATTACTTATCTTGTCAGGGAGACTTTTTTCAATTGCTCAGGCTAGAATCTTTCCAGCCACTCTGAAACAGTGGCTATTTCAGACAGCAGTAGCCACGTCTCTGAACATCAACTGCAAGCAGCCAAACAAGTAGTATGATGAAAATACTCTATCCCACTCTGAAACTAGGGACAAAATAAGTGTGTAGGTACATGGTTTGTGGTAATTGGGAGTGGGGCTGCAGCCAGCTTCATCCCCAATGGGTACAGCTGGGAAAAGCAGATGAACAGCATTGACAGCAATGAGCCATGGAGTGCCCAGGGGCACTGACCAACACCAAAGGGAACAGAGGGCACACAGGAGCAGTGCATGAACATGAGGGGGATAAAAGGCTGGGCTAAAGAACAAGAAGGGCGGATGCTTGCAGCCTTCTGAGGTGCTGTGGTGTTACTCTGTATGTGCAGATGCCTGAAGCCTTCTGGAATTGCAAGCTGATACTCTGTGTATCATGGCCATCTCAACTGTGATGTAAGTTCAGCAAACAAAATGACACACTTTTGTTAGAGGGAGATGATTTACACAACATTATGTTAAAATATAAAAATACCAAAAAGTCTCACAATAAAGGCTCATTAAAACAAAAAAGATGGCAGGTGTCTGCATGTAAATAAGATTTCAAAACTTCAGATAAAGTCACATCTTTGGTTATTTTTAATGCATTTTATTCCATTCCACTGGTTGTTACTGACTAAAATGGAAGGATTCCTTGCTGGTTGTGTGTTTTCAAATGTGTAATCTCAATATTTTACAAATACATTTCTGATTATATGGGAAGGGCTAGTGTTAGTGTAAGGCTTCTCTCCTTTCTAAGTATTTTTGAGCATATATAATACTTATTTTTAGAACATACTATTTAAGAGAAGAAAAATGGTAGGACAAAAAGGGTAACTGCCAGTATTTGTTAAAAAGGGCTTCCCCCTCTCACTGCTTCCACTCCCTCCTCAGCAAAACCACACATAACTCACTAAGACCCCACTGACTACTTGGCAAAATCTGTAAAGCTCAATATGTTACAGCATTTTATACTTTAAAAATAACACATTACTACAAAATTGTAAACTACAACCAAGGACAACATCCTGGCAATTTTGCACACTGGAAGTATCTATTGACTTTAAAACCATCAGAACATGGTTTAGTATTAAATCATAATAGTCATATAAATATAATACTTCACCTTTGCTACCATTTAACAACTTCACCAAATTTCACCTAGTTTGAGGCTGTCATCTATAGAAAAAATACAGCCTGTCACTGTAAGGAATCAAATTTCATACTGTGAATTTATAACTATCAAATGCTGTTTATGGAACTGCATTTTTCATCTTCTATCCTTCAACATCTGGTTCAAGAAGAGTGATTGCCTTTTTTTCTTCCCTTTTGCATAAGTAAAGCAGAAAGGACAAGTAAGGCACATGCAAAGGAGAAAACACAGTTCAAGAACCTTTAGTAAACTCAAATAATTTCTCTGCATACTTTCAGTCATTAGAATACTTCAGTAAATTAATAACATCACAGTGTACAAGGACACCCTTGAAGACAACAGGTTTTGATCTAATATTCCATACAAAAACTTCATTTTAACATTTCACTATGCACATAATATGATTTATATGGAGCTTAGAGTTTTAGTTTTTTAGTGGAAATATTTTCTTACAGTTTGCAAAACAAATTACTTAATTACACTTTAATATGAATGCTTGAAAAATACTGTATTTTTCTATTTTCTTCTTGGTTCTTAACTCACATTTAGGTAAGACCTGCACTTGTAACAATCCCATTCCATTTTTAATATTATTAAATACCTACTGTATTTGAAATTACAGCAAACTAGGTCCAAGTCATTAAAACACAAGATGTGCCTTCTGAAAAAAAATCTAAGAACACCTTTTCCTTTTAATAAAAACAAATGAGGTGGTAACTTTTGTTTACATGCATTCATCTGTTTTTTCTTCCTTTTACTGCAGGATACCATTGTTTGCCTAAAAGACACTTTATGTTCAAAGAAACATTAATTCCATGAAAATGTAGCAAAAAAATGACACTAAACCACTTCAATATAAGAATCCACAGTGACAGCAGAACAGTATCATAGCATTTAATGGTACATCTGCAATTCATTTCACTCCATCAGCCAAAAGATGCATTTATACTACAGCTATTACATTTGGAGAAGAGTTTAAATTACAGAAGTTGAGAGAGCTTCAAAGCAAATCTCAATCTAAGCACCTTGATCTTGATGGCCCAGTTAAAAAAAAATTAAGATAGAGACCCTCTTCATGAAAACGCAGATCAATTGTACTTAAATCAAGTTATTTTTAATTTCCTTTTATAAATCAATTAAATGTACCAACCTGGGGGTTGGAGCATTTTATTTCAAGGGATTCAAGGTCGACATGGAGGCAGACGACAAAGGAGTGTCTGGATTCCGGCCCTGAAGGAAGCAGTTTCTGGGAAGTCACAGCTAAAGTAGAAGTACAGCCCATTGGTTCTACCAAATTAAGAGTCATTTGTTGTCCAAGGAGGGTATATACACTGAAATGATGCAGACTAATTGTCCATGGAAAAGCATCACCTAGTGATTAAAAAGAAGAGTGTTAAACACTTATAATACAAAGTAGGGTATGAATTTCACAAAACTAGCAAAGGCCTTATTCTAAACCACCTTAGAAGTCAGCAAGGGCAATCCACAACAATTAAACTGATCCCAAACTCTCATAAATATAATCCAACCATTATTTCCATGCTATACTTCAAAATCTAAACAATAGCAATAAATTTTTCACAGCTTCTAAAAACTGAAATCCATTGGGAATTTTAACTCCAAACTGCGAACAAACATGTACAGCATAGTCTTTAAAGAAATCCTTCTTCTTCATGTATTTTTCCTCAAACTGAGGAATATCTAGACAACACTGTCCACTTTTTTCAGTATGTATGGATGCAGTTCAGAGGCAACTCCTTCCATTATATACTTCTATCTATTTACAGGTTGTAATACTAATACTAAAAAAGTGAATTCTTTCCTTTAAAGTCTACAGGTTGCATCTCAACACAGTGGTGCTGCCGAGTGAAGCCTATTCCAATGCTCACAGGGCAGCTCTTTCCATTGCCTCACTTAAACTTCCTAGATAATTTCTTTTCTAAAACTAAATTATTATGGACATACACTTAGCACTTCATTTCTAATATTTAGGAGGAAGTCTACCCAGAGAAGTTCCTGGCATCCTCTCAGGAACCATTATCAGGAATAATCACTGAGGGAATTGGCAGCGCACAGCTGAACAATGAAATGCCTACAGCTTCTGCACAATCAGTTTTCTTTAGTTTGTCAATAGATTAAACATAAGTTCCCAAAGCAGGATCACAGAACTATTCAGGTAATTCTTTAAAGGACCAACAGGAACTCCTTTTGGTGAAGGAAAATTTTCAACGGCTCTACCAGCTAGAGTAGAGAGGAATGAGCACACAGATTACAGGACTTGAAACAGAATCCCTGTGGGGGGTTGACCCTGGCTGAGTGTCAGGAACCCACTACAGCTGCTATCACTCCCCTTACTCAGCTGGACTAGGAGAGAAAATTTAACAAAAGGCTGGAAGACAGGCAGAAATAATTCACCTGTTACTGTTCATGGGCAGAACAGATTCAACTTGGGAAAGTCCATTTGGAGCCAGTTGGAACTGGCTTTGTTGGATCTGAGGAAAGCTTCTGGAATGCTCTCACAGATGTCAGCCTTGCAGTCCTCCCCACTACCAAAACCTCGCCATGTAAAGCAAACACAATCTCACATATGATAGCCAGGTCCCAGAGGAAAAAAATTAGGCTCTGGGAGAAACGCTGAACCAAAATTCAAAGAATGCTCAAAAGAAGTGAGGAAAATAAGGCAATCAAAGAAATGTGGATAAGTCTAATTTTACTTGAAACAGATACAGGTTTTTGCTCTTCAGAGGTATAAGAACATAACAATATTTCAGGGGGGCTTTGGGGTTTCTTTTGTTTGGTTTTGTTTTCTTTAAAGAAAATCTTCATCCCATTTGTCAGATTTCCTACTGAGGAAGTTCAGCCTTTTTGTCACAACTTGAACAGAGAGGCTGTGCCCAGCATGTGAATTTTCAATCCACTAAAAGAAACTGCCTGTCCCAATATGAAGTAATGTAAAAGCAGCTGGATGAAGTGCCAGATCCAGACAGAGCAGGCTGGTGAGCATCCACAAACCTCAGCCATGCCTGAAACAGTCTTCATATTTGCAGGGAGAACAGAGAAGGAGAAAAGTTCTCCTTCCCACAGGAAAATTCACAAAGTTATTTGGTATGATATTGTATTTTTCAAAATTTTGGCCTAAGTCATGGATAAAGGTGTCCAAATTAATCTAATACCCCAGAAGCATGGAATCCAGTCTTGAGAATGGCAGACAAAGGTACACTGGGCTGGGCCCCTTGGGGTCTCATCTGACAATAAAAAATCCAAACCAGTGTTTTTAAACAATATATGAAGAGTGTGTTTGCTGCCTGGTGTGACCTACAGTCAATACTGTCCTGCTGAGAAATCACAACACTAAGAAATATCACCAACTGTTAAATGTGACCATCTAAAGAGTTACTGTTGGTTTTGAAATTAAAAGAAATTAAAAGAAAGCTCCATTCCAACCTTTTTACTGTATTATTTTAGTAAGACTTCTATTTTTTCTTCCACTGGTGAATTCAGCAATACATTTATATGGTCAAAAGTATGTATCAGAAAACTGTGTCTCATCCTAAGAAAAAACTGAAAACTTCAATAGTTTATTTTGAAGCTATTACATACTGAAGAATTCAGTTCAAAGAAACTTGAAAATATTTTCAAAAGGTTTGTGGATTAAAAGTTTTGAAGCAATTAATTCGTGCTTTTTTCCAAGTTCAGTCATCCAAGAAATACAAAAAAGAATTGTAATAGATGGAAAAAATTCAAATGCAAAGTCAACTCCAATGACATGTTTCTAATTATTACATATGAACTTTGTTTTTCTCTGTGACCACCACAGTAAATTATCATAGTTTGTATTTTATGGATTAGAAAGAAAGAATATCAACGGAAAAAAATCAGCAGCTCTAGAGTCTAGTAGCTCTACTAGACTGCACACAATATCTACCTTAAAAGGAAAACAATGACAAAATGTTATCAATTTACAGAAACCGCAGTATGTTGAAAAAACACTGTAGTAAAGACACAGTAGTAAAGTGAATTTACAGCTATAAAATCCCCCAATGTCATCAATTACCTCTTCTTCAGCTCCATATACACTGTATGCCTGTTCTAACACTGTATTGGAACTGTGCACAGGAACTGTGCACCTGACAAATCTTTATTCTGTTGTTATACCTATATCTTATTTGTTTTTCAAAAAAAAAAGTACCTTCATTTATTTGCAACTTTTTAAAAATAAAACTATTAAATTCAGCACCACATTTAGCAGAATTTTCTCTACATCTAACCTCCCCATCTACATATACTATTATTTTGTCACCTCATTGATGAAATTCTGAAATATTTGAAGTAAATTGGGAAAACTGAAACTGCCTTCAGTGGAACTACAGTACACCCAATATTTACTATGGCAAGATTATAAAATATACACATGAAAGACCCCTACTAAGGTTGACGATTCTAGTTAATTCCTGATCTACTACTACTACTACTACTATAATAAATCCTTATTTTTAATTTTGTAGAGCACCATCACTGATTTGTATTTAAAAATTTATTAATTCAACTATTTCAACTGCTTTGATAACTTCTTAAATTTATAAATACCACTTTCAGGTATTTGGCAGTTAACCGACCCAACCATCAGACAATTTTCAAAGAACTGGTGCTTATCTGCTACTTGCAATACTTTAGAAAGACTTATTTTTTAATTATTTTCCAGTGTATAAATTAAAAAATGGTATGTGGAAGCTCTTTCTCTGGTACTTATTGATGCACTTTACTTCTTCGCTAGAGTTAACTGCTAATGCTCATAACAAGACTTCTCATATGCATATGACATACAGTATTGATAAATGCACTTAAGTACTCATAAATGTTATGTCTGCTCTCATTTTTATGAAGTACTTATTTTTATTTTAAAAAACAGATTGCAATTGTGGTGTTTGTACACGATGTTGTGTATACAATGCTGACAGTTCCACAAAAGAGAAAATTTGTTTGTTTAAAATCAGTAATGGTAGGAGAGAGATCATGAAAGCTTCATCATGCATGTGCTCTGGGATCCATTCCCAGGCTTACCATTAGTATCCCTTGCAATCCTTACAAAGCAACCTGACTACTGTGTTTTCATTTCCCTTTCTGTACCCACACTGCAGGGTCTTTACATGAATTTCTAAAGCCCCTATTCTCATGGGACATGCAATGTTCAAAAAAAAAAGATACTGCAGTCACCACAGTTAGGTCACTTGTACTTCCTCCCAGTCATGGAACAGCAAAGTATTTCTATGTCTGCATAACTCCAGCTTCTCCAATGTGAGAACTAATTTTACAACTCATTCTCGTAACAGGTAAATTTAACACAGTAATTACTATTACAGATGGTGACATTGACTATAAGCTCAAATAAACCAAAATAGGGTAGATTTAGATCAGATATAAAGAAGAAATTATTCACTGCAAGAGTAGCAAGATACTGGAAGAGGCTGCAAAGAGAAGCTGTAGATGTCCCATCCCTGAAAGTGCTCACAGCCAGGCTGGAACAGGCTCTGAGGAACCCAGTCTAGTGAAAAGTGTCCCTGCCCTTGGCAGGGGGGCTGGAAATAGATGATCTTTCAGGTCACACACAGACCCCTCTATGAAGGAGCACACTATTTTAATATCAAATATTTATCTTAAATATAATTGCAGAAAAAAAATATTTCTGTAAATTTAAAGGTAAACATTTTTTAAAATCTAATGCAAGATGGTAACTTGTACGAAGGCCAACATACTGCTGTTCTACTTTAAACATTTAACTGTTCTTTTCAGGTTGAAACCTGTACAGCACTAATTTCCTATTTCCATGCAAGTCACTTATTGACAGATTACTGAGTTTTGACATATGTTACAAAATTCTGTGAAGACATATAATCTGTCTTACTTCAAAAACAAAACCCATCTTTCAAATTTAAATATTTGGAATACTGGTTCGCATGACTGTCAGTATATGGCTATCCACCTGAAAATGTGACTATGATTAGCAGCGATATCAAGAACAATTTTAAGATATTTTGAATACTGCTTTCTAAAAGTATTTTACTGTGTCTTACCTAAAGATCTGTATCTTACCGTATCCATCATAATCAAACATTTTTAAAAATATGAATTCATAAAATTTACTGCTATGAACCCAAAGAGAAACATTATTATATTCATAATTAATATTCCTAAAAATCAGTAACTAAAATAATTGAAAATGTAAATGTCTAAAAACATGAGGATTTTACCAATACAAAAAAGTTTCATTATTATTCTAAAACAGTGCTTTACCTATGAAAAAGTTCCCTTCATGTCTTCAACTTGTCTTCCTGTTATAATAGTCTAGATTTTTGGAAGACCACTTAGCAGTTCAGAAATTCTGACCATAAAAACATATGTTCTCCAACTATATTTGCCACATTTTAGCCTATCACTATAGGTTGGAACTTGGAGATTATATAGATTAATTGTCAAATATTTCAAGTTGGATGTACATGGAAAGTCACAACTCCCTCTAAGAACTTCTCTAAACATTTCAGTTTTCTCCAAACTGAGTTTCTAATAATTTACCTTCTTCTTAGTAACTGTTTTACATAATGGGGAGCTACAAATAGGACAGAGGTCCTCCTCTTCAGAAGGTGTCAAAACAGAGAAGACAAGGGGCAACAGGTACAAGGTGCACTGGGAGAGATTTAATATTGATATAAGGAGGTTTTTACAGTAAGAACAATCATTAACTGGAACAGCCTCCTTAGAGATGTGCAGCCTTTCAGGAAAAAACGTGTTGGATAATGTCATCTTGGGTCCCCCTGCCATGCAAGTCTGGACCAGGTGATCATTCAAGGTCATTTCCAACCTGGCCTTCCAGGCTCTATGATTCTGTGATTCTACTTTAACATCTTCAATAAATACTACCTCACAGATCTCTGTCTGATTAATTTGTACTCTTTAGATAATACTTAATGCAATTCAACACCTTACTTCATTGTTATGTGTTATTCAAAGGAATATTTCATTCTTTACATAGAAAAATCCATTTATGGATTACTTAGTTATTAAGTATGACTGAGCTACATTATGTTTCTGAACAAAAACATAACAAAAGCATTCCTACAAACTAAAATTACCTCAGGGATGCAGCAAAATTCTGTAAACACATAGAAAGACCTGATTGTGGGATAGTGTATAAGCTATTTTTACAGTATGTTGACATCTTGAGGTCAGTAAGTATCTAGTAAGCTGAAATATTCCCAAATGACAGTAAGAATATGTTCCCTTTTTGTTCTCTTTTAGTCTTTCATGTAATAAGAAAAATATATCAGTGAGCAAACAGCTTTCTTAAAAGTGACAACATTTCCTTGTGGAAAAGCCTTTTAGTTATATCTTGTTTATAAAAGTAGGAATGATCCAAAAAAAATGGCTATCAGGAAAAGCACAGTTAACAAAATATAATTTCTGAGACATGGTAACATGTCTGACTGTCCCTGAAGTCTTGTTCAAAGACAGAAGCAAATTAAGAGACTTTCACAGTGCAAGTCCATAAAAATCATTTACCCCTACAGGGGAAGAAGCAAAATAGGTGACTTTAAGCTGTGAAAAAACTTTGAAATAATCTCTTTAAGAGGGAGTCTTGGCATGGGAGAAGGCAATGGCTCCATTAGAGAATCAAAAATATCAAGATTGTGAGAACTTCTGTTTGGCATTATTCCCAGAGCAGGAAGCCACACACAAATAAATTCCTTACCATAGGCTTTATCCCAACCAGGGGGATTCTTTTCTCTCACTAGGCTCTTTCCTTCAAATCTGGGTCTGACAAAACTCAAATGACTTCTTACTTTCATAAATGGTTTAAATTACATCATCAGTTTAAAACAAACAAAATACTTCCATTAAATGTATCTTCTATCTGCTACTATGATTAGCAAATAAGATCATTCCTACTGAAAGTTACTAGGAAAACCACATACACTTTTCTCTCTTTCTTTCAAACTTTTTTTCCTTTTCATTTTGCAGCATCTCTAATATGATTTTCAATACTAAAAAACTAGAATTTTATTTCCATTGCCATGAGTTAAGGTAAAATACAGAAAGGAGAAGAGTCCAATATAAGTGACAGATCAAAGGGAGAAGAAACACAATGTCATAAATCCAAACAAATTTCAGATGGCTGGAGCAGGACTAGCTCTTGAATGTGATTTTCACTTAATTTTTCATACCCTTTAAATTGTTTCTATTTCAACAGCAAGAGAGAAAACAGAATAATTTTCTCAGAAAATGTTGTCACAAAAGCAATGGAACAATTGCTGCATCTCCCTCTCTTCATCTTAGAATCAATACACAGAACAGCAAGAATTCTTTCTAAATAATATAGTTTGGGAATACAACAATGAACACTAACACGCTGGTTTTGTCTGGGATAGACTTAATTTTCTTTATAGTAGCTGGTATGGTGCTGTTCTGAATTTGTGCTGAAAACTGTGGATAATATGGTATGTTCTAGTTATTGCTGAATAGTGCTTGAAGTCTTTCCTGCTTCTCACACTGCTCCACCAGCAAGTAAACTGGGGGGACACAAGGAGCTGGTAAGGGAGACAGCCTGGTCAGCTGAACCCAAAAAACCAAAGAAACCAACCAAAAAGAAAGGCTGGACACCTGCCTACTGACAGAAGTAGCAAATAAATGTTATTTTGCTTTGCTTGCACTTGCAACTTTATCTTTTAAGCTGCCTTTATCTCAACCCCTAAGCTTTCTCTCTATTGACCTTCTGATCCTTACCACCAGGGTGGAGGAGTGAGTGGCTGAGTGCAGCCAGAGCTGCTGGCTGGGCTTAAACCACAAATACTGGCATTTCCATGGAATCCAAAACTTGGTTGTGAGCCTAGCTCCCACAGAAGTCATAAAAATAAACCTGGAAGCCAAGGCTCAAGATAACTCAGAATATTTGCCTCGCCTATTTCCAATATACAATTTTTCATATCTATCTATATATATATATACACACACACATACATATATATACACACACATACATATGGAACAAGATTTTTACATCAGGATGTATACACACACATATATACACACACATATATATATGGAACAAGATTTTTACATCAGGATATATTCTGAACATGTCAATTTACCATTTTTATCCTGATTATTTCTAAGGGCTCTGTTAAAAATAACGAAAACACAATAAAAAATATTGAACATAAGCAACTTGTTTTCACTTGCTAGGTCCTTTTTAGCTTATCTCCTCCTTTCATTTCTTGATCAGCTGCAGAATGTTAAGAGCTGATTCCTCCCTCAAACTGGTCTAAAACTCAAAGCCCTATCAAAATAAGAACAACTGTATTTTTCCTCAACCTTTACAATTTTTTTCTTCAAATTTCTACAAAATCCTTGCTAAAATTTCTAAGTCACAACACAGAACACAGAACTGTTGCCTGTGAGGATGGACAATAAAGCCTCATTCTTTTCTTTTGACAGTGTGCTATAGTGATGAATTTCTCTTCTCATTTTACATTGAATCATAGAATATCTCAACCCATAAAGATCACTGAGAGCAACTCCATGCTCCTTGCAGGACTACCTAAGACTAAATCATACGACTAAAAGCATTGCACAGATGCATCCAGAACTCTGGAAAGATTAGTGCCATGACCACTTTCCTGTGCAGCTTGTTCCAGTGACCAACCACCCTCTCAGTGAGGAATGCTTAACTCATGCCCAGCCTGAATGTTACATCTAAGACCTTGGTAGGAAAAGAAGTTTTTCCTACCCTGTCTCCATTCTGTCTTGGAATTTCCAAGAACAGAACTTCCTGTTGTGTCATGATAATTGGCTAAAAAATAACTTGAATAACAAAACCAGTGAAGGTAAAAAATTATTTTCATTTCAAGTATACAAAACATCACAGAACTAGCTCTTTGATGACGAGTCCCATGTTGATTTCCATGGGGTCAACCTTGTAATAGTATTTCTAGACATCAGTAATATATAACAACATTCTGCAAAAAAAGCAGTATGAAATCGGAAGTTTTCAAAATAAGATTAAGACAATTTTCATGACAGTTAGAAATGCAAACTAAAGAGTTAGGTTTTTTGAGTTTATCACGTTACCTTCTTCCAGGATGGGTCTCAGCACAACAAATGGGATTTCTTGCAATGGTTCCATGTGTTTGTGTCCAGCACTCATAATCTTTATCTGGGGCAAGCAGACAACAAGTGTGCCAGGCATACTGGCCTGCCCATGGTACCAGTTTCGCACAGTCCCAGGAATGTCACCCGACACAATGGTACTTGGAGAGGGCAGGCTGTCATTGGGAAGGAATACACAACAAGACTGCACTTCAAGCTGAAAAAACAAAGCGAAGAAAGGTTCTCAGAAATAGATTATTTCCCCCCTCACTGTGGAGTATTCAAATTAGTACAAAATTTGAAGTTATTCATCCATCACCATTGACTGAAAATAGTCTTAACTTCTAATTGAATTAAGAGAAAAGATGATGCAAAATGCTGGGAAATAATATATGCTCGTAAATTTTGATTATGGGAGGAGAGAAAGAAGAAGGACATTTTTGCTGTGTAAATTCATCAGAAAGGTGTTGCCATATAAAGTGAAAGTACATATATCTACATTTCAACAGCTCTGTACAAGTGCAATTGAGTCAGAGAACGTTCTGAATGAGAAAGCCCTGCACTTTTTACCATTCATTAGCTTTGTTAGCAATAGCTAAGTCTCTAGAACTAGCCAACATTTTATATGCTGTTACTTTCTATAAAGAACTGTTTCAGGGAAAACTCTGCCTTTGATTAATAAGCAATGTAATGAGCATGTACAAAAAAGGTAATCATTAGAAAAACTATGAAAAACACAAACTTTAGAGAAAAACTGACTGACTTTTAAACAAACTGAGATGTGTATACATTAAACAAAGAGAAGGAGATAGTAATAAAGTTGATAAAGTTTATATAGGTTTTATCCCCTTTTCAATGCAAATCAGAAGCAGCACATGTGGTTTCATAGGAAATAACATTTTTTGTTCTTTATTTTGAATGCCCTGGAACATGTCTGACTATTTTGCCATCACCTTAGGAGCTTCTAGTGAGGCTGAGTGAGCCCAAACCAAGGACTCAACTCATCACAAGTTGTTAACTCAGAGGTGATGTAAGCTGTGGACTGTTAGTCTTCCTTGGCTCTTACAAATACCATTCTGGCACCTGGATATCAAAAGGCTCCAAAAGCCTGCACACTTCAATGCTTTGTTAAGCAAATACAAACTGTGTTTCAGTTCCTTGCTTCACATTGCTTGGAAAAGCCTAGCATACAAATTGTTGGACAAGACATTATTTGTAGTTGTGATAAAAACATTTGTTTGCTGCAAACTTAGGTAACACTTTCAATTTGACATCGTTAAAGACAGCACAGCTTAAAAGCAAAAACCAAGATTTGTATACTTCATACTCTTCCCTGAAGGGTATTAGGTCTTTAAGACCACAATAGTGATTTGTAATAGAGCTGGAATTCCACAGCACTATAAGTACTTTGCCAGCCTAGTGAGTACACAGATATTCATCTGTATTTCAGCATTTTTGTACCCTTTTGCTTAGACAAACTGACAAGAATTCACTGCAGAAAAATATAAGTAGAATTTTGCAAAAATAAATACATTGGTTCATGAAGTTTGTGTTTGTTTCCGGATTTAGAACTGTTTGAGTTGTAAAATGAAGCTAATTACATCTTTGATAAGTAGTTTATTGATCTAAGGTTGCTGAGTGTACTTTATTTATACTGAATGAAAAGCTAGGGTGTATTGTTACAGATGTAACAGATTTGGATTTTTTTTAATGGTAAATTAGTTTTTGTGTCAATTTGCAAAGATTTTTACAGTGACACATTAGATCGTTTTCTGGTCTATTAGTAATAGGTTGTAGGTCAAATCATTGTGGGATAATGATAAATAGATGACAAAAGAACTTATGATCAGTATAACTATTGTTTTATCCATGCATTTGCTGAGTAAACAGTTTATAAAAAAATCACTCATTCTTCATACACACACACATATACACACACACATCTATGACAATTAACATCAAATGCTGCCTGGATATACAAACCATGTGGTAATAATAATCCAAAAATTCCACCAACTTGAAGAGATACTATACTTCATCACATTGCCAGCAGCAGGATCCATAGGACATGTTTTACAAAGCACTCTCAAGAACAGATCTCAATACTCAGTGGAGTTTTTACACTTCATTTACAGTTTAATACAGCTTTGTACTGAAGAAAAGTTCTTCCGATCACATTTGGTTTATTTTACTTTGCTGTCCCGAGAATACTGAAGTAGGATCACAAGAGTTTCACCCCTTTAAATTCCTGATGGAAATTCCTTTTTTACACAAGCAGCTCTTTGCTACTCATCTCAAACAACTGAATGGGAGCTGGACCATGAATTTTGGTGGGCTTTAAATGGTATCATCAGGCCTCCATATATGTGGTAGATACACTCAGCCCCCTTAACAAGACCTGCAGTAGCTCAGTACAAGCTCCAAATGAGGTAAAGGCCTGAGCTGTAACCAGGTCAAGAACTCCAGGAAACCCACAAAGAGCAGAGTGACCCAATGAGCATCATGCCTGATCATGTGAATAACACTTGAATGTGTTTTTTCCAAGACTCAGTTATCAAGGAACAAAGAAAGCTGTGAGTACAAGGAGTCTCTTGCACATCCTTCCCATTGCATGCAGTTTGACTACAAGCCAATGACAGCCTAAGTGAACTGCCTTTGACTCTCCCTGCCAGGCAGGATGGCTGCACAGCAGTGACCTCCCCTTGAGCTGGGACACCTTTCAAGGCTGTTCTGAGAAGCAGAAAGGCCTTTCTACTAACAACAGATCTCTGGATGAGTTCAATTCAAACTTCCCCTGAAGTGCAACTGGTCTACACACCAGTTACTCTCCCCTTGAACTGGGATGTCTCCCAGCATTTGGGATTCCTTATCGGAGACTGCTCCTTCTGTAACCCAAGGCAGAGAGGTCTCTTAACTGCAATAGATCTGATAAGCTGCTGATAGCATATTAAATTAATACTACTGAAATCCACAGAGGTAATTCCTTTAGACAGATTGTTGTCAAAGTCTGAGACTAAGACCGGACCTAAGATCCATCAGGAGTTCAGAAAGCAAGGGGATCTACACTGGACGACTCAATGGAAGGACTTCCTTCTCTTTGATTTCTTCTCTTAGATATAAATTGCTGTCCAGATCAGATCCAGCTGCACCTAAGCCACATCAGAGATTTGGCAAGCAAGGAGGTCCGGTCTGAATTTCATGACTCAGTGTTTGGGTTCCCTTACCCTTTTCCATCTTTGGCCTCCATGTAAATAATGCCAGATTTATTCCAATTCTATTTTCCCTTGTGTGTTTTGACCATTAGTACATGATAGAGTGAACCTTGCTATTGATCTTCACTGAGTTACACCTTTATGAATTCATATTAAAATCTCTGCTAATGCCTTTGATGATGATTATTTAAGTTACTCTAAATCGCCCATTCATGACAAAATTAGTGCAGTCAGCAGGATCCTAAATCTGGATTCACTAAAAATTGACAACATGTAATACTACAGAATTGCTTACAGATATGGTTGGCTTACCTGTGTTTCATTTAAGGTTTTATATTATTAACAAATTTTGCAAAACATTACTGCAGGATTTCAAAGGCCAACACAATGAATGTATGGCAAAAGTCCACATTTTAGAGCAAACTGTGCAACGATTATAATCACACAAGAAATTACCAGCTTGAGTGAACGAGGGCCCAATAAGTGCAAAACTGAGTTGCACCTGTTGAACTTCTTGGAGGCAGATTCACAACTATCAACTTCAATGGAATTTGTGTACATTTAACTCACAGAATCTGGAAAGTTGCCTACCACAAGTTCCACTGAAGGAATGGAAGAGTGCACCTAAAACGATAGAATTATATGCTGGACAAAAGTGAGAATGTGTGCTACAGATTGCTTCACCAATCAGAAAGTGTTTCAAAATATATGTAATCCAAATTCTTAAAATTAAACTACATCAATAGCATATATTAAAGCTATCATATAAATCTTTTTACACTTTTTAAATAACTGTTAAACTGTGTGCCTAAAATTGTGAATTTAATGTAAGATGTGACTGATTTATGTAACTGAATATAAATCTGCAGCAGTAAATCTTGCATTAATGTAAGGATCTGACAATCCAAGGGAAAGAAAATGAAGTAATCTGCCAGTAAGAAGTCCTCAAGCTGGGGGTCAGATCCTGTTCATGGAAACCATCTGGTTGGGACCCTCCAAGCCACACCAAACACAAATGATCTTTTAAAAAAATATCCTATTCATTAATGCTTCGCAGCTGCACTGAGTGTTACTTCATTTTTCCATGGCAACATCCTTTCTGTTTCAAGGATCTGATTTCAGTTTTGGTAGCAACATGTTCGTTTGCCAATACTGAACACATTCATGTGTTAAAGAGAACGAATTATTACATTCTTGAAACCGGATCACCCCCTATTTTCATTTCTATTATGTCAAGGCCTATACATGCTAAATAATGTGTACTAATGATAAACCAATGAAGCAAGCAGTATTTTCCCTTCTACTTCTAAAACATTAAGTAAAGCATAACTCTACACTTTTACAAACATGTAAGTCTCAAAATGTCCAATGACTCTTGCATAAATAGGAAAGTATTAAGTTACTGGAGTATTTTTAATTTTATTTTATAAAAAGGAATGTTGTTCACTAGAGAGAAGACTGAAATAAATACTGCTGAAAAATTAGGTCTTCCTAACTAAGGAGGGTGGGTTGGAGGGAAGAAAGCAAAAGAAGTGACTGCCCAAAAGTGTTATGTAGAGGGACAAGTTGTTCAAGTCTTTACAGCCTTTCATGATAGTGATAACATAAGAAGATTCTCTTTCATAACCCACATTTTACAGCTACATAGATCAATTAGAGGCCCTGAAGACCTTCTACAAGGCGACACTTGCAGAAGCGTGACTCTCCAGGGAAGTTGCCTTGCTCTGAATTAGTCACCAACCCTCATGTGCTCTCAGCAGCAAGGTACCATGTTTTTCTGGGTACAGAATATCACCTTGCAATGACTCCCCAGGCTGCAAAGAACCCCTGCTTGCACACCTCGTGCGAGGGCTCTGGTGCACTCAGTATTGTAAGACTGTAGCCCAGCCTCCAACACCCAAATTTGTTCTACCATTTGGACCATCTGCCCCTGAGCCAGACATGCAGTGTTTGTCACAATTTCAAAAGGCAGAACGGAAATTCTTGTTTTGAAGGTAGACAAAAGTGAAAATGCTATAAATGGAAAGCAGAACACGTAAGTAAAAGAACTAAGAGAGCAGGCTACCTATACATAAAAATGACCCTAATTAGGATCAGATACATTTTCTTTGACCACTTAAAATAGTGTCATTGTGCTTCACAGTATTCAGTATTCTTTCCTAAGAAAGCTTTTAAACCTTTTAAAAGGTTTATTTAGTTACCGAAAATACAATTTTTGTTGGTTTGTGTTAAGTAACCAACTTAAGAAATAATCCTATCTCACGATTGCCAAAAAACTGCTGAGAGCTGTAACTGCTAAATTACAAGTCACAGAATCTCTTCCTGATCCCTGGATAACGACACAGTTCAAGGAACAGGAACTCTTATCAAATCTGTCCTTCCCTTTCTTGCCTTTCAATGTTTCACTGTGTCAAAAATTTTTACAAATTATATGCACTAAAGAAAATAAAATTATCAGTAGTTTCAGGAAACGGATTTGTTTTTTTCAAATTAATTCAGGGATATTTAAAGGCATGTGACATACCTAAGTTTTATATGTAACAAATACATTCTTATGTAGTTGGCACTGTTGCAACATTACTCACTAATTAATTTATTTTTAATACAGATCCTTCATTGTTCTCAATGGAATTCAGCATTAACAGCCAATTAAAAATAATTGTGTTTATACTGCTTCACAATTTTAGCAACTATTAGTATGAAGAACATGTGAAAAATGAGTATTACCCTCCTACACAGAGTAACTGCCAAAAAGACTTCAAGGCTGCATATAAAATCCTACGACATCTAAATAATAAACCAACTTTTTATAATTAAATATGCAAGTCTTTTCACTTAAATACCACAACTCCAATGCATAAAACCTTCATGCAATATTCTCTCAGAAGCAAGCCAGGGCTAAGGCTAAGCAAGTACCAGCTTTGGATCCAAAATAAACTTTCCAATTACTTTGGTTCCAAACACATTTACTTACTCTAACTTCCACTAAAAGAATAATCCTTTGATGATTTTAAGTTATGAAGTTCAGTTTTATCTGACGACAACTGGAGACTTTTCTGTTCTAAAATCATGTAACTAAAAGATCCAGGAACATGAAAATTAGCTTTAGAAAAAAAGCCACAGAGTCTAAATGCTCCAGCATTTAACCAGACAAATTATTCTAGGAAATTTCCCTTATTCATGCCAAAAAATAATACAGAAAATCTGTAAAAACTTATAATTTAAATATAGTTATATATGTTTAATAAAATGAACATTATGTATAATAAAATAAATATAATATACTTGAATTGCAATACAGAGTCATTTTCTTCATTTTTTTACCCTCTATACATCGCCTTGCACAAATTTCCCATTTGGGCAGGTATTGAGAGAAACAAGTGATATATATGGCATTTGTGTTGAAAACCATAATAAATTAGACACAGGGACTACTAATAGCAATAAAAAGAACAGCAAACATATCTATAAATCCTTCGTATTTCACAAGAAATAACAATTGCAAATTTGTGTGGAAGCACGTTCTCGAACTTTTCTGCAGTGCTTCCCTGGAGTCTGTTGAAATGTTTCTCTGATAACATGCAATAAACTTCTGGGAAGGTACTGCAAATACCTTACAAAGTACAGTGAAAGCATAAGGATGAAACAAAGTGAATTCACAGGGGTGTTTAATTTCAACATAGATAAAACCAAAAAATATCATTTCATAATCATAATGATGAAAATAGAATCCATGAGCGCTCTACCAAAAAAAACCCCCAAACCTGTAAAAAGCAAATAAATCTAGAACCTCAAGCACCATGAAAAGCACCCAATACAAAAAAATCCTCTGCCAGGATGAGCCCTATTCTGTATGTTAGGTCAGAGCAGCAAGGTATTTCAGAATTACTTTTTGAGACAACCGCTGCCTACCACTGTCATCAGTCTTCATCTCCACAGAAGGAAACACTACCTCTTTTTGTCATCCAGTAACACACAGACTTCATGGTTGGTGCTTTACTCATTCCTCAAAACAAATTCAATTTGCTGGTTGCTCACAAAAACACGTACCATGAAAAATGTAGGAGCAGAGCATTGCAGTCCTGATTCAGCCTCCCCCTTTATGAAGGACCCAGCTCTGCCTCGCTGGCATTATTATATTATTGCTTTTATTATGACTCAAACTGTAAGCTGCATTTCTACAGAGAGTTTCACTGTGCTAAGTACCAGCCAGACACCTAACAAAAATACACTGCTTCCTTCAAATAGATTACAAATTCTCTCTCTTATCTAGACATTTTAATCTACAGTGGTGAGAACATTAAGAAAGAAAAGAAAACAAGCAAAATACTCATGAAATAATGATGAAAGAGAAGGCTGAAAATGAAAGAGATTTAATGGAAACCATCTACTCAAATTCACTATGTTCTGCACACGGGTGACATGTCTCAAGTTCTTGCTCAGGCAAAACCTGAACCTTTAAACTTTTTTAAACTGCAAATTTTAAGTACTTTTTACATGAAAGAGGAGTGACACATGAAAGAAGAGTGACACAGACACATTCTGGGATAAGCTTGCATATTATGAAATATATTGCTTGATAGGAGGAGGGAATAAGCATTTAACAATTATTTTCTGTAATAATGACAAAAAAACTTGCCCAAAACTGTAATTAGGACTTTTCCTTGGCAGTTTTTTGTGACTTTTTTAATAAAAAAAATTACTACTATATCCTGATGTACCATAAAATACTGATCTGACAGAATGAATGTATGGTTCAAGGGGCACAGGTCATAATAATTCTAAATCAGAATAATTTCGCAATAAGCACTTGATAAGTACTGGGAACAACACAGTCATAATTCTAGCACTTCTAAGCCATCTAATGTTTGTTCCTGCAATCTTAACACTGGACTCCTAATATGGCATCTATAATTCTACACAAAAACTCAGCTTTTACTGATCAGCAGCTACAATCTAGAGCAGTATAAACCAAAATGCTTTAATCCCAGCTGCCATCTCCTTGTCCTTCATGAAAAAGTAGCCAAGTAAGCTGCTGAGCCTTCACTGTGTAACAACAGCAATTGTATTGTACACCTCAGGAAAATATTTATCATACACACTTTCCTGAAATAGTTGTAGAAAAGAAAGCACCCTGCAAATCTAATTGCAGTGTTTATGATGCAGAGAGGTGTGACAAGCAATTTTTATTAATATAATTTTTGAAGGATCTTTCCCTTCAAATACAAAACAGCATTTCAAAACCTAATATTTTAAAACCAAAGCATTCTTTGCTTAATTTACCCAATATCTTACTTTATTTTTCATTCTCTCAAACTTTGAAACTACTGAAATAAGACAATAAAACTTGGGAGCTCCTTTAAAACCCCTCTAATAAAAAGCACTAGGATGCATAAAAAGTATCATAAAGTCTGGAAACACATAGAGGTTTTTTCACTTCCTTTTCATCTTACCTGAAGTGTAAGGCACTTAACTGCATTCCACACTATTCCAATAAATTCTTTCATTCTTTCCTCAGGACTTCTGCAGTTTTCAGATGAGTTCAGCACAGTTTTCACAGGGAGTGACAAAGGACGAGATTCTAATGCAAACAAAAAAAAAAGTCAGTTACAAAAAGAATATGTAAGTAAATAATATACTTACTGATAGCAAAGAAAAATTATTACATTCTGAAAGTCTTTCTCTCACTGTATATATCTCACTATGCACATAATAATAATGTGTCTGTATTAGTTTTAAACTTGTCAATACAGCTGCACCAGTTAAGTCTTGTGAGAAATACAGCACAATAGAATTAAATGTTCCAACTTCTTCAACATGAACTGCTAAGAAAATATTATGAAGAATGTTTGACTTAAACAAATTAAGACAGTTTTCAAAGTGTGATAACCTATTTGATGATGCAATTGAAATTCAAGAGGTTTTCACATACATTGCTGCCGGTGTCATCTAAAGGTATCACCTTTCTAAAATTGTATGAAATGACAGACCACATTAAATAAAAGCCATTAATTCATTTTCTTTGAAAAAATCCCTTAAAAAAATGAGTATGCATCAAAAAAAGGCATAGAAATTAAAATATTTTCTTACTTTGTCAAATTTTAAGGCAATAAAGTATGAAATAATTCAGCAAAATTCAAGGTTTTCTAGTAAAAAGAGTAATTTCCTTAAACTGTTATTTAAAAACATGAACCTGAAAAGATTTTAGAAACCTTAAATTAGATGTAAGCACATTAGAACTTCAAAACAGGACTGTGAGTAGTGCATAGTTCCTTCTGACATGTTTTACAGTATATCCTCCTAATTGTGTATTGGGATACGCATAGAACTATTGTCAGCTTATTTGACATTTCTAGTGTTGGCCTACATGTTGTTGAGCTGACTAAACTGCAGGAATAAATTACAAAGACTTCAAGACTTAAACTAAATTGAAATCAGTGTGTGACAATTTATGTCTACAAATCTTACAACTAGGAGAAAGCTGTGGCATGAAAATTACAGAAAAAGTATTTACACAAAATTTTGCTATCAATTGATCTAAGGAAAGCAAAAACACCTGGCCCTTGATATGCATCACTGGTTCTTCAGTAATGCAAAAAAACCTGGGAAGATTTAAAACTGAAACATCTAAGCGGAGAACTTCTGCCAAGAGAATGCAATGTTAATGTCACTGGATGAATTAATCTGTGACATTTTCCCCATCAAAGCTAGGGTTCACTAACTCTAGATTATCAGAAAAAATCCCTCAACAAATAGTATTTTTAATCATCTTAAAGAGAAATGTTCACTTCATTGAACTGATGAAGAATCCAAAGATTTGGAAAGAGAGGTGGTCAAAAGAGTGAAAGAGGATTTTTGTGGTTGCAGGATAATTAGTTCTCTCAGAGATTCCTGGCTCCAATTATGAATATGTTAGAAGGATATGGAATGAAAACTGGATCATGAGAGTGTAAAAAGCGTGACATTTCAGGATTGTCTGTTGTCAGCTGTTCTGGGGAGGCAAACATGTAAATTGTCCATCTGGAGAAGCAGCGTGCAATAGCTGTTTTATAACATCTCACATGGACAGCTTCATGCCATGAAGTATGGCCTCCATCCACATTACAAATGGATTAAGTTAAAACAAAGAGATTAGTCAAGGAAGAGCTGTTCTCCTTTAACTTATTGCCCCACCTCAATTCACACCATCTCCTGCGCAGTCATGCCCTACACTACACAGTAAGAATCAAAACAGCTTGACTACCAAGAAATATTAAAACAGGAGTCATTGAAGCACAGAACTCTGGAACACAAGTGTGGGTAAGGGTGAGAATGGCACACAAAGTCACGATGAGACTCCAGGAACTTCACAGGTAGGATGCTTCAGGTCAGGATGAGTTGATAAATACAATGTAAACCTACATATTCTACAATGCATTCAGCAGGGACTGTCAACATACTACATCACAAGTGCATCTCTCATGTGTGGGATTTAAAGTTAGATTTCATTCCAATTGCCCACATTTTATTTGCAGGAAAACAGTGCTAATTCTCTCTCAATTAATGGAGTAGCCAGCAACAACAATCTGTGAATTAAAAATAAGATTAGCTGACTGTAGTATCTCCTGGTTTTCTTACTTTATGTGTAATTAAAATCTGCAAAATTCCAGGAATATCCACAATAAAAACTGAGCTTTGCTATAATCCCTCAAGTTCAACCAAGAGATCAAAAAAAAAGAAAGTCTCAAAACCCAACAGACAGATAAAGAACCATTCAACCATAAACCATGGAAAATAGAAAAGGAATAAAAAGTGTATCAGACTAGAAAGAAGAAACAAGCAAATAAGTAACTCCTGAAGAGAAAATAAGAAAGCAGTACTTTTTTTTCCCCCCTATACTGTAAATCCCAGAATTTTGCCTGAAAGGATGCTGGGAAAGAAGTGTCTTAATTCCCTGTCAGGCAAGGAGATGAGGAGATGACACTTGCTAAGATGCTGTCAGGTGTGGCTTCCATCTGTGTTTGTCCAGTCTTCTACACTAGACATGTAGACTGGATCAGCCTCATCTGTCTCAGTATGAAGGTAATTTACTAAATTATGCTACTTAGCTACTACTGAACTGAAAACCTTGAAACATTTCCTGACAATGTAATCAGTCTTCTGCTCAACCCAGGTGTCAGCAATAGCTAAATAGAAAATATTATTTGTATGAAACATTTTTCCAAATTGATGAGGGGACAAAAACCCCAACAAAGTGAGGACTGCTTCAAGTTGTACCAGTTTAATTAAAAAAAAAAACCAGTGTACAGGAATAACGCAAAATGCTCCTATTTTTATCTTTTAGACCCTTATTGTTTAATTGGTGCTTTTGCAAACATATATACCACATCAATTGCACATAAGCTGCCACCCTTACCAATTTCAGAACACACTGGTAATGAACAGACTTGTAAAAAAAAAAAAAAAGGACTCGTTGAAGGAGCATTTTTCATAACTGACTTAACAATTTCTGGTTAAAACACAAAGGGAGTTCCAGCTCAGCAAAATTAATAATTTAAGTACTCACTTTGTAGGACATGCCACCAAGCAAGACTCACAGGTATAAATTCCAGATAAAGGTGTCTTTTTTATATAGATGTCTCCTTCTTTGTGTTTTTTAGCCTACTGGGAATGAGTGGTTTTAGAACTTTGAACCAGAAAATGCATAAGTTTTGAAAATAAAAAGAACTGTTGTGAAAATGACACTACTCTGTGCTATTAATATTCAGTAACTTAAGAAATAGAAAAGGGAAAAGAGAACTTCTGAGATTTGGGACAAATTGACATTTCTTCAAATAATTCAATGCAGAAAAACCCCACACATCAAGAGACTTCCACTACTGGGTTGAAGAATATCGATAATCTGTAGGCACTGATGGTCTCGTGCTTTTCTCTCTCCTTACAGCTAGCAAATAAACTAAAGAGAAATACCTTTTTCCTGATTTCTGTATGGCACAGACCTATCAGCTCTCAAGCTCTCTGGCACAAGCTGGACTCATTTTTCCTGTCCCACCGTGTGCCTCAGATCCCTCATGCATGAAGAAGACAGCAGCTTCTTTCTGGCTGGAAAAGGTCATCCTGCTGCAGGCAAATCCACAATTTCACTGCTGCCCAAAAGCTCAGAGCACTCCTTCTTCAGGACAGGTCCACAGCCAGCCAGGCAAGCAGCAGGACCCAACTCTCTTGTTGGAATCCTGGAGCCTGAGAATTTTAAACTTTCTCTGCTTAAAGGCACAGACCACAAGAGAACACTACAATTGACCTGAGGCTGTGGAGAAGACTTTAAAAATTGATTGGTAGCACTGGGATTACGGGTGTGTAGTTGGTTAGAAGTGTGTAATATCACAGGGTGGAAAATTTAAGAGTTTGGGATTTTAGAATACAGAGATAAATATGAAGCAAGATGGAGGTGTTAGGGTGGAGGCAGGTTGTTCTTCACCTTCTTCTTCCCTCTTCTTCATGGGTTTCGGCAATGTTTTGTAATTGGACAGAAAAGCTCACATTGCAGGCTTCCAGGGATCAGTTATTGGGTTAAAAGGGAAAATAATCTAGGTGTCCTTTCTTAATCTTAAAAGACCTTGTAACAAGAGATTGTTAGCCATTTTGTGCCTTCTAATGAAAAGCTGCAGAACTCATGGTTGTGAGTTTCACTGATAAGAAATTATAAACACCTGAGTCTGAACATGAACTACTGTCTCAAGTGCCTTCAATCCAGACCCAGAGAAACTGATACTTTTTAAAATCCTTCCTTTCTTAATGCACCATTTTTCCCACCATTCAATTTCAAAGTTACTCAAAGCAGCAGCTCAGTAAAACCATGCAGAGAAGCTCAAACCTGCATTTATCAATGTTTTCTGAACCATCAGTACCCTTCAGAAGTTTTTCACTAATGCTGATGTTTTATTTTTGAGGTCTCATAAGACAAGCTATTCACCACACCCATTCCTGGATGATACTTGAATTGTTCATTTTCTCAGAACAGACTATGTTAGTTAATTACTTTTTGAAATTTACATTCTCCATCAGAATGTTTGAGAATGAAAGCAGTACTTAAACAACAGCAGGAAGTCCTTTTAAGCTTATTAAAATATGCAATATATTTGCCAGCATACTGAATAGTCTTTGCATAAATAATTTCTTTACTAGCCTTTGAGCATTTTTGCATTCCACTTTACTAACAGTGCAGATAATACATTACTTTTGTCAAGATAATAATTGAGCAACACAGTCCCTGACAACTCATGAGAGTGAGTCCCTTATATGCAGGGAAATGGCAACAGAGAGGGGTAGTGACTAAATTTGTGTGCTCACACAATGAGTTATCAGCAGAGTAAGTGTTAAAACACAGAGGCTTTTAACATATATCAATAAACAAAGACAAATGTGATACTAATGTTGTGCAACAAAAAAGGATCTTTGTGTGTGAAAGTGTATGTTGGCTAGGGAATGCCTATGGTCAGCATTTTCTCCCACCAAATTCCTAATGATTGCTGCACTACTTCTGGCAAAAAATACCTATTTAGTTCTGGGAACAAAAATAAAAGACGACTGACACTTCTGTAC